GTGATGCTGATGGGGACAAGGAGCTGGGGGGATGGTCTGTTAACATGATCATGCTGGGACGGAGGAACAATGCCTAGGACTGAGGGCATGCCTGAGAATGTAAGGTGCTGCTCAGAAGCAGCTTATTACATGGAACACCATCTATTTCCTGGTTGCTGATTCAAGTCTTGCTCCAGATCACCCACTTCTAAAAATGTTAGTGTTTAACACGCTGTGCCAGACCTGTGCTGGGGAAACAAAGCTGAGCAGAGGCTGGCTCTGCTCACAGACAGCTCCTGACACATTGCAGTGCTTTTTTACCTCTTCTGAGTCACAAATCTTCTGTGAGACTTGAAAGTTATGATCACTACTCTAGAAAAGGGCACAATATGCACACACTTTTGCATGTAATTTTAGGATTCTCAGAGACTTCCCTTTCCACTCTCACTCCCCAAGTATACCTAAGATCAAGAAACTGCTGTCTGGTGGAAGATAAAGATTCATAAAGTAAAACGCAACATAGTATAGACAGAGAAAACTCTGGAAACATAGACAGGCACCTAACCCAGACTGGGGGCAGGATCAGGAAGGATTTCTTGCTAAACGGAACATAAAAGGACAAGTAAGCTGTGAGGCAAGGACCTGCTGAGAAGTGAGAGGTTCAGGGACCTGCAGGTGCTGTGGGAGCCAGGCACACAGGCTGGAAGCAGCAAGAGATTTGGCCATGGGGCCACTGGGAGCAGTTCCCAGCTACTGAGCTGACCCAGCACAGCTGAGTCTCAGTCCTTCTGGGGACTCTGCTAGCAGCCTGCCTGGCAGGTGTGCAGGGTGCAGAGCATCCTGCATGTTACTGTTGCTCACACTTCCCTGAGGAGTGGACAGCAGGGGCAGCTCCTCCCATGTCACAGCTGAGGAAATTGAGGCCCAGCGGAGTAAGGGCCCAGCCTGGGGTGGCACTGTCAGTCCACTGCAGCCCAGATCCTGCCCCTATTCTGATGCTATCCCTGCCCGCTGGACCTTTCCCAGCCCCTCTTAAGGAATTTGCTCCCAATCAAAATGAAGTTCTCCTTTCATGCCCTCAGTTGTAGGCTGCAGGAGGGCAAGGAAAGCATCCCTGAGGGCCTGGTATGGGGATGAGGTGGTGGTGTCAAAATCAGATGGACACCCTCACCTTTTGGATTATGCTCAAGGGTCCCTGGTCCCCTGCATGGAGAGTATAATGACGGAAGATTGGCTGAATGAAGTGAAAGGTGGTAAGTAGTGCCTGGGTGGGTGATGTGTCTGGGGCAGTGATTCAGCAAACAGGATCAGAGTGGGCAATAGGAATGCAGGGCATGTCCTAAGGCAAGGGTCTTCAGCTCACTTCAGCTCTGCTTGTTGTTAGCTGAGGCAAGCACAGTGTTAGATACCTTGTAAAGAGGCAGAACACACAGCCCCACTCTGGGGAGCTTACATCTTATTAAAGAAATGAGTTTCAAAAAGGATAACAGAAACCACATCATGCAAAGTGAATAGTCTAGACCCTTAGGGGACACGTTCATTTTGTAACAGTGAAGACAATGGGAACATGGAGGCGGGCTGGGACCATGTGAGGGCTTCCAAGAGGAGGCTGGTTTTGATTCAGGCATTGAAAGATGTGAACAATCAAGGGCTGGGAGGAAAGTGAGATGAGGGGATGCCGAGAGAGGGCACCCAACCCAAGGAATAGAGGAAGGATGAGGTGTGAGACCTGATGAGGGATCTTAACACGTGGCCTTCCTCCTCCCATGACTCAGCTCTGGAAAACTTGAGACATGATCCAGAAGCATCAGTATGCATCTGTGCGGCCCAGGCCCAGGACCACATCCTGGCCAGCTGCTGGCGGAACTCATGGCCACTGCCACGTGGGGACTCATGGATGTGTGACCCAGCCACCACTCACCGCTGGAGCCCCAGCTGTGAGAATCTGCCCACTTCCCACCAACGGCGCTCCTGGATCCTGCAGGCACTGAACTCCTGGAAGATGTCCTTGAAGCAGTGATGTCCCTGAGTCCCCATCCGGGCTCAAGGTGGCCAAGTGCAACTGTGCTCACTACAAATGCCCGGTGGCTTACCTCTCCATCATGAGCATTTCCCCATGGGAGACGCCCCAGGCTCCAAGCAGCCATCACTCTGTGTGATGAATCTGTGAGGATTTGTCATGGCCTTTGCTTGTTGACTCATTTGACATTTACTGATAAATGTAGGCTGTTTTGTCCACTTTGTATAACTGGGGAAGCTGAGGCTCAGAGGGGCGAAGGGGCTTGCCCAAGGCTGCACTGTAAGCCTGCTGGACGTCTTCCCTTCATTATAAGAGCAAAAGGAGGTAATGATTTGGATACCCTTTGGGGGAAGGAAAGGAGGGGAAGAGACACCAACCCCAACTCTATGGCATCTGTATATCCCAGAACCCTGATCTCTGAGACCCACCCTTGGGTTTTTGGCCTGGTGATTTTCCACCACAAATTCAAGCAGTATTTGTTGACCTCTTAACCTGGGCCAGGACTGCTCTGGATGCCAGTGATACAGACATGAATGAGATCCATCCCCAGGTCCTGAGCCCAGGTTCAGAGTATGATGCAGCAGTTCTCAATTAGGGGTACTTCTGATCCCCTGGGAATATTTCACAACATCCAGAAACATTTCTGGCTAATGACTTGAGGGTGGGGATGCTATTAACATCTGATGGACAGAGACTAAGGGATGCTACTAAGCAAAGCATTCTACAATGCACAGGACAGTCCCCACAGTCATTCAGTTAAAATTGTTTAAAATGCCAAGGCAGACAAATTTTGGTCTAACAGATGAATCAGATACATATAAAGACACACCAAAAGTACAACAGGGGGTTTGGGAGACTTTGGAGTCCAGAGGAGGTATGTAGGCCAGGTGGGGATGGGGGAGTCAGGCAAGGTTTCCCAAGAAGTGAACCCCCAGGGGTGGGTTAAAGATGACTACACAGTGGGCATGTATGGAGGGGAGCAGGGTATGCAGGGCCAAGAAGCAACCGCTGGTGGGATGAAGCCTAGAGGGCAGGGAAAGGACATAGGGGAGGCTGTGTCAAGGAGGAAGTCTTCATTCACAGGAAGGCACTGTGGGATGCTAAGCAGGGAGAGAGATGGGTGGATGTCAGCTTTAGAAAGCTCCCTCATACGGATACAGGTGGGGCATACATTGGTACAGCTATTTGGGATTGGAACCTGTCACTACTTGGTCATAGTTTATGCCTACACACGATCCAGCAATTCCACTTGTGATGGATGACTGAGCCAATGGTGACAACATGTTTAGAGGCGAACCAGGGCCACAGGAGGGTGGACAGGGTAGGGAATAAAGCAGGGGATAAAGGTCAGTCTGGACACAGTGAATTGAAGACCTTGTCAACATGATAGTGAAGCCATCCATGAGGGTGCTGGCTGCTTCTGTGGACAGAATATGTCACCCCAAAATTCATATGTTGAAATTCTGAACCCCAATATGATGCTATTAAGAAGTAAGGGTCGGGACTGGGGTTGTGGCTCAGCAGTAGAGCGCTCGCCTAGCACATGTGAGGCACTGCGTTTGATCCTTGGCACCGCATACAAATAAAATAAAGGTATAGTGTCCACCTACAACTAAAAAAAAAAAATTTAAAAAGAGGGTCTTTAAGAGGTGATTCAGGATTAATGAATGGGCTTAGTGCTCTTATAAGAGATACCAGAGAGCTAGCTCCCTCATCATTTCTGCCATGTGAGGACATGGTAAAAAAGATGGTGCTATGAAGCAGAAGCTGTCCCTAACCAGATACAAATCCTGTTGGTGTCTTCATCTCAGACCCTCTAGCCTCCAAAACTGCGAGGAATAACCATTTTGTTGTTTATAAGTCACAAAATTTATGATATTTTGTTATAGCAGCCTGAACATACTAAGGCAGCTGCAAGAGGTGGTGCTCAGCAGAGGGTCTGAGATGAAAACAAACATTTGTGCCCAGTGGGGGAGGGACAGCATAGGAGCAACAGAAGCCTGAGGAGCACATCATCTAAGCTCCTGATGTGGATGAGGAACCAATGAAGCTGACCACACGGTTGTCCTCCAGTAAATGGTAGGCCAAGATTATTGGGATACTGGGCCAGAGGGTGGGAGTGTGTGTGGGGAGTCCATTTGCACAACCCTTTAACTGCCAAGAATGTTCATAACCATTGCCTCTGTGAGACTCACAGTAGCCCTGGGGATTGAGGGTCAGCTTTCTTGCCCACATTCCACAGATGAAGACACAGCCTGACACTTCTTAAGGAGGGATGGGCCTTGTGAAGGTCATACGAGGGGACCAGTAGAGGCACTGATCTCCAAGCCACAGCCAAAGTCTCTCTGTTCAGAGGCACTGCTGTTCTCATTGGTCAGAACCCAGGTCTGGGATGGTCTTGTCAACAATTGCTGTATTCTGTGTCTGGATGGCCTCTGAGCATAGCAGAGATTTGGTCAGTTATTGGCCAAGTAGTCTTGAGTTGGAAGGTTCAAGAACACTGGGCAAGTCACTTCCTCTCTCTGAGTCTCCCCTGCTATTACTTGAAAAATGTGTTTGTACAGATTCTATAGGGATCAAGTGAAAAAAAAAAGGAAGCTACTGTGGACTGAACACTGCTTGTCCCCACCCAAACTCGTGTTGTGGCTTGGTCTTCAATGAGTGGTGCTGGGAGGTGGGGCCTGGAAGCAGAGCCTCATGAATGGATTGCTGCCTTTCTTGCATGAGTTCTTACTCTCACTAGTCACTGTAAGAGAGGGTTGTCATGAAGCAAGCCCACTCTGGTAGTCTCTGTTTTGCACATGCCTGTTCTTTGCACATGCTTCCTGCCATGAGTTGAAGCTGCAGGAAGCCCTTGCCAGAAGCTGAGAAGATGCTAGTATCATGCTCTTGGATTTCCCAGTCTCTAGACTCACAAGCCAAAATAAATCTCTTTTTAAAATAAATTATCCATTCTCAAGTATTCTGTTATAGCAATAGAAAATGGACTAAAACAGAAGCAAAGGCACTTTATAGGCTCTGTATTTAAGAAAGGAAAAGATAACAAAGAGGGGAATTAGGAAGGAAACCAGGATTAGGGAGTGAGCATGGAGAAGTATAAAAAAGGAGGCTTGGGTCTGGAGGAAAGGGAACACTTGACCAGGTGTTCTGACAGAGTTAAAAGATAAAGACAGTCCAGACCCTGGGAGGGTGATGATTCTCCAGCATCCTCTCGAGCTTTTCTCTCCCTCATCCCCACATCGGCTAAGCCTGCCAGCTCCACTGCTGGCTCACAAGCAGCTTCCTTATCAATCTCGTAATTCAGCCTCCCTCCACCAGTCCTTTACCTGGCAGCTCAGGCTTTCCAAAGATAAATTGGCTTATGGCTTTCCTTCTCTTTGGGTCTTTTCAGTGGCTCATTCTTCTCTGTAGGATAAAGGCTAATAGGGCAGTCAGGCCCTCTGGCCTCTGTCCACCTTAGTGGCCTCACCTCTTATATCTTGCAGTACCACAACAGGCTGTTAGATACCTCTTTGCCTCTCTCTGCACATGGGCAAATACTGTCTGAATTTCCCAGCTCCCTCTAGACTCCTATCCATGTGCAGAGATCTTCCTCATCTGCTCTCAGCTCTATGTCACCTTCTATGTGTGGCCTTCCTAGACCCCGATCTTCTGTGTCTCCATTATGCACACTTGTAACCTAGTGCCAGTTTAGAGTGGTCTATTACCTGTCTGCTTTTTATTCTAGACCAAGGCCATGACAGCCCATACAGTCCTGCAGCCATCTTCGGGGTGACCAGGTGGTTTCTGAATGCCACTTCAGGAAGCCACAGTAGCTGGATAAGCAGGCTCACCTCATCTGAACTGCACACCCTGTTCCCAGGCCAGCTGTGGGGGTGAGGAGGTAGTTAGGCTCAGAAATAGACACATTTACTGGGTGCAGTGGCTCACACCTGTAATCAACCCCAGGGGCTTGGGAGGCTGAGACAGGAGAATTGCAAATTCAAAGCCAGTCTCAGCAATAGCAAGGTGCTTTGAATTTGCATTTTTATTTTATTTTGTATTTTTATTTAGAAACCCTGTTTCTAAATAAAAATACAAAATAGGGCTGGGGATGTGGCTCAGTGGTTGAATGCCCCTGAGTTCAATCCCCAATACCGCCCCCCCCCCAAAAAAAAAGGGAACTAGACACATCTGATCAGTTACTCCTTTCCTTAAATGTCCTATGCCACCCTAAGGAAAGCCAAGTCCTCACAATCACATCCTCTTTGTACCTCCCACCTCGTCATTCCCTGGCCCAGTCTCATTCTGTTGGGGGAGGGGGGGGAGGGCTCCTGAGTGTTCCACAGGCAGGGGTGCCCACCTGCTCCTTCCTGGGCATCATGCTGTCCATTCCCTCTGTGGGAACAAACATCTCCTGGTCTTTCCCAGGCCTCCTCTTTGCTTGAATGGCTGTCCACCCTTCTTGGCACTTTTCTCCAACAGCTCTTGCTACCACCTGACAATCTCACATCTCATCCCTTCTCCGTGTCTCCACTCTGGTGCCTACGGGGCAGGTTTCATCTGCTCTGTCCATCTCTGAACCCAGGGCCTGGAAGTTATAGCAAACAGAAGGAGCCTAGTAACTTCTTGCTAACAAGTGAATGAAGTAATAGTGGGGACTCAGTGGGGCCTGAGCTTACCCACCACCGCTAAAGCACTGTAGGAGGTCCGGGCTGGAGAGATCTCGCTCATTAGAGAGGGGTGGAGCTTGGGCGTGCAGGCGGGCGGAACCCGAGGCGCGCGGGTCAGGGCCACCCGGATGATTGAGCAAAGGGCACCCGCACCGCCGGAAGAAGCCGCGCGCTGGTCTGTCCCAGGATCGGAGCAAGAGATCCTGGAACTGCTATGGAGCGCTCTCAGCCTGACGCTGCTGACGACAACGCCATGGACTCGTTCCTGGACAAGTTCCAGAGCCAGCCTTACCGCGGCGGCTTCCACAAGGACCAGTGGGAGGAGGTGGGCGGTCCCGGGGACTCGGCACTTGTACTGGGCCGTCCTCTGGACTCCTGGGGCTCCGCGGTGTCTCCCGCATGCCCAGGTCCCTGTAGCTGCCTGCGGGTGGATGGTTTCTAATTGAGTATTAGCGATTGGGCTTGAGGTTTGAGATCTTCTTAAGCTGTCAGTACTTTCAGGAGTACCGGATTTGCAGTCAGGCCTGTGACGCCGTCACCTACCGGCTCTGACACTGGTTAGTTTACTAAGTTCTCTGAGCCGGTTTCCTCTTTTGGAAAATTGCCCTACCTGTGGCACCAATCACTTAGGGTTAGGGCAAAGATAAAATGAAGCGTCAGGAACATAAGAGCGCTCAATTGATGGTAATTACTACTGCCCTTGTAGAATCCTGTAGAATGTGAGAACTGAAAGAATAGATATCGTTATCCTTCATTCTCATTTTACAAAAAGGATTCAGCCAATCACGATAATTTGCAGATTGTGTGAATAAGAAAATGTTGATGATGAGTCGTGGATTGGCTTTACTGGATAGAAAAAGTTTATTCATGCTGTTCATTATGATTTTAAAATTCAGGAATTTGACAAGATCCCCTTATTTATGAAGAAAGCACCATCAGAAATTGATCCCAAAGAGAATCCTGACTTGGCTTGCCTCCAGTCAATTATTTTTGATGAGGATCGATCTCCAGAAGGTATCTTACGTGACTGGCATTTGTTTTGTATTGAGATAATGTGTGAATCAGAAAGGTTCTGACTGATAAGAAGTAGTTTGCATGAGCTAATTTGTCACTGTTCACACATATTTCTTTGGGTACCTACAGATTGCCAGGCTTTGGGGACATGGGGGTAAATAAGACACAGTTCCTGCCCTCAAAGGTCAGGCTCCAGTGAGAAGCTAAATTGTGCTGAAGAATTAGGACAAATTTGTGTTAAGTGCCAATGTATATACTATAGCTGTAGTGAGTGCTATTGGAACACTGAAGGAGCAGGAGTGGCCTCTCAGTGAATTGGAAATTTGAGCTGAATCTTAACAATTTTGTAGGCTTTGACTAGGGCAAGGAAGGGGATTTGCATCCCAGAGAATAAAATAGTATAAATAAAAGCAGAGGGGCCGGGGATATAGCTCTATTGGTAGAGTGCTTGCCTTGCATACCCAAGGCCCTGTGTTCAATTCTCAGCACCACAAATAAATAAATAAATAAATAAAGTGTAACTCCTCCCATATCCTCAGTAATTAAAAAAAAAAAAATCCTGTTTTCAAAAGCTAGGATAAGTATACTTTTTTTCCCCTTTATACTTCTTTTTCTTTTTTGCTAAGTATTTAGTAATGTACCTTATAAAATATTTGGAGTTGAAGCATTAAGTTTTCATGACATTGTTTCTCCATATTGACACTCCTTTTTTTTTTTTTTTGTGGTACTTGGGATTGAACCCAGAGATGCTTTACCCACGGAGCTCCATCCCCAGTCCTTTTATTTTTTATTTTGAGTTAGGGCTTGCTAAGTTGCTGATGGCTCTACAAAGTTGTTGAGGCAGAGGCCTTGAACTTGGGATCATCCTTGCCTCAACCTTCTGAGTCTCTAGGATTACAGGCATGCCACCCCATACCCCACACAGTGCCTAGTTAATACCCATTTTTTAAAAAGTATTAATTTTTTAGTTGTAGTTGGACACAATATCTTTATTTATTTTTATGTGATGTTGGGGATTGAACCCAGGGCCTCGCCTGTGCTAGGCGAGCGCTCTACCACTGAGCCACAACCACAGCCCATTAATACCCATTTTTATCAGAGCATTACTTTTGAGTTTCCTTTCCCTATTGATTTATTTTTCCTGTTGGTTTCTTCTCTTTGACTTATCATTTATTAAATTAATACATGATTTAAAATCTTCTTAATGGGTCTTTTAAAAAGTGGGAAATAGTGTCTATTTTTCTTCTTTTTTGCAGAACAAGCCAAAACCTATAAAGATGAAGGCAATGACTACTTTAAAGAAAAAGACTATAAGAAAGCTGTGATTTCCTACACTGAAGGATTAAAGAAAAAATGTGCAGATCCTGATTTAAATGCTGTCCTTTATACTAACCGGGCAGCAGCACAGTACCATCTGGGTAATTTATTTCATTATTAAGTGCTTTCTAAAGGAATTACTTATGATAAAAGCCATTAGATGGCTAGAGGAGGTTTTGAGAATGTCAGAGAAAGAGGGGCTGTTCATCCCAGAAACCGAGACTAAGGATCATTTATTCCAATTGAGTTTTGATCTTCTTTGTAGACATGGTGAGAAGGAAATATTTTATAATTTTTACTATCTGAAACAAAAATAAAAGTGACTTAGTTACTTTATAAGGTATTTGATGTATGAATCAGTATGATCTGTGATCTTTAAGCCCCAATGCTTCTGTACTTTCAAAAGTGTTTTTTGGTTTTTTTTCCCCCCTGGCCTTTTATCCTCTTCTCAAGAATGCTGAAGGATTAAAACAGCAGAGCTCTTTAGGTGAGAAAAGCTGTAATCTTAGGGGAAAATTCTCAGTATTTATGGAACTCTTGAAGTAAAAAATATTTCTTGCATGAGGAAGTTTAGAAAATGCTGCTTCTTTGCTGGAGATTTTCAGTATGTATTAACATTTAACACTGAATAGACTACAACAAAAAACCTTATCCTGGGTTTCTAAAGTGTGTTGTCCCCTTTTCAGATAAAACATTATGCAGGGCTGTTCTGCTAATATGATTTTAGGAAGTGCTGATTATTTAAGTAGTAGTATTGCTGGGGACTAGTTTGGGTCATATTAGGCCCTTGTTTATAATCACAGAGTTTAAAGAGGACCTGGGGGTAACCTCAGGCATTTCTGAGGGTCCAGTAGAAAACAAGTGCTGTAGTCTTGCTGGAATAGTTTTTCCTAACTCATCACCATTTGAACAGTTTATCTCTAAGGCAGGTCTCCCTCAGTCTGTTTCATTAGAAAATTTGAAAAAGTGAAAGTGGTACCGAATTTGAAAGATTATTTAAGCTAGCAAACCCCTTCAGTTTATATAATTTCGTGAGGGTCCTTTTCATTAGTGTCTGAACCTAAACAAGGAAACTTGTCTTTAATTTCAGGAAGAATATTTTTTCTTTATTCCTGTCTCAAAATAAAAAATAAAAAGGGTTAGAGGTGTAGCTCAGTTGTTAAATGCCCCTGGGTTCAATACCTGGTACCAAAAAAAAAAAAAAAAAAAAGGGACAAGTAAGCATTAATCAAGTAGAAGCAGATTGGGACATTCCAGCAAAAGGGAAAAGCAGGAGAAATTCTTGAAAGTCATTGTTGCCAGTGGAATCAAGACAGGAAATTGTGAGGAGGCTGGAGAAATTGGTAGGGTTGGTTGCCACATTGAGCTTGAACTTTGTATAGCTGTCAGCGAAGAGGCATTTAAGGGCTTATTGCAGGTCAGTGGTAGGGTTAAATTTCTATGAATTTGCAGAAGGATTAATTACCTTAGCAGATAATGTGAAGAGGACAGACTTAAAGATTTTTTTTTTCTTTTTTTGTGGAATTGGAAAATGAACTCAGATCTTTGCACATGTGAGGCCAGTGCTCTACCACTGAGCTATATCCCCAGCCCTTTTTATTTTTTAATTAATTAATTAATTTTTGCTACCAGGTGTTGAACCTAGGAGTGCTTAACCACTGAGCCACATCCTTAGCCCTTTTAAAATACTTTATTTAGAGACAGGGTCTTGCTGAGTTGCTTAGGGCCTTGCTAAGTTGCTGAGTCTGGCTTTGAACTCTTGATCCTTGTGTCTCAGCATCCTGAGCCGCTGGGATTACAGGTGTGCACTATCACACCCAGCTTAATTTTTTTAATGTTTAGATATGGTCCCACTTAGTTTTTTTAGGCTGGCCTTGAACTTGTGATCCTCCTGTCTCCTAAGTCTCTGGGGTTATTGGCATGTGCCACCACACCCACCGGATTTAAAGAATTTTGAGAAAGGCAGTGGCAGTGAGGATGAAAAAAAGATGGATTCAATAGAAATTAATTTGATCATAGTGATTTAGCCTGTTGATGTGAAATTGGTGATGAGCTCTTGGTTTTTGGGGAAGATAGTAGTGCCACCACTTGAAACAGGTAGTCTAGAGAAGAGGAAGTTGGTGAGGATGAGGGGTTCAAAATTTACTTTGGGGACTATTTGAGTTTACTTGGAATACTCAATTCACTTGGAGTACCTATGAGATACCAGGTGGAGAAATCTAGAAAGTGGATTGATTGTGTGAAACTTGGGGCACAGGCTTGGACCAGAGATCTGTATTCATAGTCATCAGCATCAATGAGAGGCAGAAACCTAACCTAGAGCGCAGTCTAGGGATGGTATACAGCAAGGGAAAACAAGTGGCTGAGGAAGAAGCTTTGAGGAACTATTTCAGGAAACTGTTGGATGAAGTCGCCAAAAAAGAGGTTAATAAGAAAAAATGAGGAAAATTTGGAAAAAGTTATATTATAGGTATCTGAAGAATTAAAGATGTCAATGTAGCAGAAAAGTTACAAATAGAAGAATGGCTTTTTTTTTCTCATTCCAAGTAGTGATTACAGGTATTTCTGTAAAACTGGCCATGAGCCATATGTCTTGTTTACTTTTTTTTTTTTTGTACTAGGGATTGAACTTTGAGACAGGGTCTCATTCAGTTGCTTAGGGCCTCACTAAGTTGCTGAGGCTGGCTTTGAATTCACAATCCTGTTGCCTTAGCCTCTGGAGCCATTGGTATTATAGGTGTGTAACACTGCATCTGACTTGGCTACTCTCGTGAATGGAGTTTTTCCTGCTTTGTACTGCACAGGTTCAGGGGCTATAACTTTATATGAATGGATGTCTGCTTTTGGAATTTAGGACTCTTATCTGCTGATTTAGACGTGAGGTATTTTAGGAACTTTTATTATAAAAGTAATACAAGCATATTGTAACAATGAAAAATACAGAAAGGTTATTATGAAAGAAAATTAAGCCCATCCATAGTTTACATGAACCACTTTGAACATTTGATATGAAGCCTTTTGGTCATATTTATTTATTTAAAATCAGTCTTGGTTTGTGTCACAATTTCTTATACACATAATTTAAATGGGCAAAGTTCTGTAAGGCTTGTTATAAAGGTACAGCCCCTTGACTCTTTTTCCTACTATTTCCTGTTCCCTGGAGGCAAACACTACCAACTATTTTAGCTGTTTCTTTTCTTATGTACCTTCATATAACTAAATAATATGCTGTATTTCTGCTGCTTTGACTTTCCAGTTTGGGGCAATGCCTTTTGATTCCCATTGTGGAAGTGAGTATGTTGTCCCCTCTCATCACTGCCACCCCAGATCCACAAGTATCCTGTTGTTTTGTGCATATACTTATGTGTTTGTTATTTATTGTTTTCATTTATAACTATGTAATTGTTATTCACAGCTAAACCATGTTGAGAATTCTGGTCATTTTCTATTTTGGTAATAAAACTTTAAATTTTTAATTTAAGTAATAAGTGTCATAATTATTATGCTTACTTGGTTCCTATTGTACTTATTACTGAGTCAGTGCTGTGCTCTCGCCCTATTTTCTTACTCCCTTCCTCATCAGGTGTTATAACCGTTTACCTGATTGGTGACACCCCTCTGGAGCTTTCTGACCTACTTCAGTATGGACTGGTTGGTTTCTCTGTCTCAGTTACTTCTCATCCTGCCATTATTATTTTTTTCCCCTGGTAGTGGAACAAACCCTGGAACACTCTACCACTGAGCTGCATCTCCAGCCCTTTTTATTTTTTCCTTTGAGACAGGGTCTCACTAAATTGCCAAGGCTAGCCTCAAACTTGTGATCCTTCTGCCTCAGCCTCTCGAGTAGCTGGGATGATAGGTGTGCACCATATACTGTGCCCATTATGTATAAGGCATTTGTATTCATAACTGCTTTCTAGCTTATAGTATTGCTGTTGAGATGTCTAGAACTATTCTGATTCTGGCATTCTGGGTTTTTCTCTTTGGAAGCTTCCAGTATTTTCTTTTTATGCTTGGTGTGCTGAAACATTTTGTGTAAAGTATGATAGTTCTATAGGTGGGGTATTCAGTGGACACTTTCAGTTGGAAACTTGTTTCTAGGACATTTTTTTAAATTATTTTGATACTCTTCTGTTTTCCATTTACTCTTTTTGGAAGTCCTGCTGCTGATGCTTTGGGAACCAATTTGGGGTCTAAGGTTACTGGGGTTCAGTATTTAGATTTCCTTTATTGATTCACCAATGTGCTTGGAGGTTCCAGTCCAGAGGCGCTCTGTTTTATGATCTGTATAGATTAAACCTCTAGTACTTTCCCAGAATTGGAGAGAGATAGATCCCAGAAACACCAGAGGGAAAGGAACGTTGAGAATCTGTTTCTTAGACTTTAACGCACCTTCATTCTTAGTTCTGGAGTTACCTGAGTCTTGAGTACTTTATGATTTCTGCAGTACCACTTGGTAGCCTTTATGCTTTCCCTCTGCTGGCTTAGAATTCATTTTTTTCTAGCCTTATATATCAGTCTTTGTCCTTTTGTTTTCCAGTTTTTAAAATGTGTTCTGTGTTCTTCTCATTCTCTTTGTCTCTGTGGGTTTATGGCTTTGAGGAGTTGGGGAAGATGGTGTAGTTAAATACATGTGTTCCGTCTACTACCTTTAACCAGAAGTCCTTGGTTCTTTTACATATGCATTTTTCCCCAAAGTTGAGATTGTTGTGTTCTTCCAATTTTGTATTTTTAATGTAATTTTATCAGGTAAATAATTTCACCTGTCATTAAAAATTATTTGTGAATATTATTTTAATAACTATATGAAGTTACATCATGTGGACCTACAACTGTTTGCATTATTGTTCTACTATTTTTGAGTGTATAAACTATGTGGAGGTTTTTAAATCATGCAAAAATGAACAAAGTTAGACATAAAGTTTTTTCAGTAATTTAGACTAAAGCAGGATTTGATAAACTGTGGCTCACAGACCATGTCTGACCTTCTGGCTGGTGTGAACTAAAATTGTTTTTTACATTTTTAAAGGATTATTAAAAAAATACAGAGAAGAATATGTGACAGACCACATGTGGCCTGCAAAGTCTAAAGTGATTACTATTTGGCCCTTCACAGAAAAATTTGCTGACCCCTGATCTAGAGTTTTAGAAGTGAAATTAATAGGAAATATTAAACCATTAAGTAATACTTATAGTCTAAACTAAAAAGAGTATAACTAGAAATAATGATTATTACAGCTGGGTGCAGTGGCACATGCTGGTAATCCCAGCAGCTCAGGAGGCTGAGGCAGGAGGATCATGAACTCAAAGCCAGACTCAGAAACTTAGTAAGGCCCTAAGCAACTCAGCAAGACCCTGTCTCTAAATAAAATATAAAAAAGGGCTGGGGATGTGGCTCAGTGGTTAAGCACTCCTGGGTTCAATCCCTGGTACCAAAAAAAAAAAAAATACGGTATTACATTAAGGAATATTTATAATGTAAATCTGCCTCATGCCTTCCTCCTAGTTTGGATAACTGGTGTGTATGTGATTGTAATTTTTTTAAATGCACTTACGTATGTGTGTCTATATGTCTAAATATTTAGTTTGGTTTATTTTACACAAACAGAAATCTGGTATCCACTTGGAGTGGATACCACTACCACTTAAAACAGTATAACACTTATGTCCTACTGTGTCTCTTACAAGCAGATCTGTCTCACTCTTCTTTTAATGACTGCATAATACTCAATAGTATGAATCCATAAAAATTCATTTAGTCATTACCAAACTAAAAATATGTGAGTTATCTCCAGCTTTTTGCAATTAAAAGTAATGCTGTAATTATTGTGTTTTTACATTTATACAAACTTTTTTGAGCATAATGTTGAGAAGAAATTGTTGGGTCAAAGTAGTTGCACAAAATGCATGCTAATTTGCTAATTTTATCCTGAGAGTGCCCTTTTTCTATATCTACACCAATACTGGATATTATCTATCTGTCTTTACTTATTACCAGTTTCATGTCAGTTTTAGTTTTTTGATAACTAAGAGATGGAACATCTCTTCACTTGCTTACTAGCCATTTATAGTTCTTCTGTGGATTGCCTGATGTTATAAACATTTCTAAGGCTTAAATGAGCACAACTTATATGTTTTCTAAAAATGGCACTCTGATTTATGTTTCTCCAAGATTGTTTTTATCACACAAAATTTTGGAAATGTTTGATCTTAAAACTTGTTCTTTCTTTTACTAAATGACTTTTTTTTTTTTTTTTTTTGGTAGGTAATTTTCGTTCTGCTCTCAATGATGTGATGGCTGCCAGAAAGCTAAAACCCTGCCACCTCAAAGCCATAGTAAGAGGTAAGTCTTATAGAACTGTAGTATGGTTATCATTATGGAAAAGCTGGTATTCACCTACCAAAAACTGACATTTAAAGCTTTGATGTTAAGGTAGTAGGATACTTTCTAGTGAAGTTATCTTATTTTTGCACTCTTGATATTAAGCTCCTGTTCCTTATTAACAGCACCATGCCACTTTTGAAAGAAAATACTCTAATCCTTTATAAGAATTTGTATAGAAATTGAGACTCCTCTTTTTAAATTTGTATTGAATTAAAGTAATTCCAAAAAGCTACATTCTGATTTTTTTCCAGATTAGCTGATTGAAAGGCAAAATCTTCAAATGCCTTGTTAATTCAATGAAAAGATAAGTTACAGGACATTTGCTGGTAGCTCTGATGCTGAGATGGCCCCAGATTATTTTTTCTCTTGTAGTCCGACCTTTCTGTGTAATAATAGTGCTTGTATTTCTTTTATACTTCACTTTTTCTTTGAGAACTTCATAGATGCTTTGCACACTTTTTTCATCACACTTAATCTTCCCTGCATTCTTATGATCAGCTTAAAATGCTTTATTAAGTTATGTTTCTTTAGGTGTTCATGGTTAAGGGATAGTAAGTAGGTCCTTGTCTCTCAGCTGTATAGAAAGAAGTTACTAAATAAAGATTGGCACATAGAAGATAGTCCTGTGGAATTAGCTTTAGGCTAGAAACCCATAATCCTGAATTCAGTTGTTGATTTTTCTGTTATAATGTGACAGTAGGAAGATACTCATTCTGATGTTAGTTTGTTCATCTCTGGAAGATGGAGTTAGGTTCCTTTGACATCTAAGCCTTTATAATTCTGTTATTTTGAAATTCTGTGGAAAGGCTAAAGAGGTTAATTATTAGAGAAAAACACACATGATTGCATTAAAAATTTTAATAGAAGAGGCAACTTAAACTAATGATCATAAGGATCAAAATTAGGAGAGACATAACATCTTTGGTCTGTTACTACCATGATGAATGGCTGAAGCAAACTCTGCTTTCTGTCTTTTTAAAATCATCTGAGATTGGCTTTATTATTTCCATTTGCATATGAGGAACCTGGAGCTTGGTGATATTCAGTCTTTTGTCCTAATGGAATGGTGAATGACAGAGCCAAATCAGTCTGATTCCAGAGCCTTTGCTCTTTGCTAGTAATCCTACTTTTAGAGTGCTTTATACCAGGGAGACTTAGAGGAATTTTGAGCTGAATAGGCACTAGGGCATTTCTGATCTATAATACAAAAAAAAATATTCTTTGGGGAATGAATTTCTCTTCAAGGGGCTGGTTGGTAGCTGGTAGCTGGTATGGGATAGGTATTGTTCAAGGCAGGGCTTATTCATGTATGTCATTCCTAGATCTTAAGGGCCCTGGTTTCTGTAGGTGCCCTGTGCCATCTGGAACTGAAACACTTTGCTGAGGCTGTGAACTGGTGTGATGAGGGGCTGCAGATAGATGCCAAAGAGAAGAAGCTTCTGGAAATAAGGATTAAAGCAGACAAGCTGAAGGTTGGTATCAGCAGACAATTGGCTTTGGCTAATTTGCATTTATCAGATTGCATCTCTCAGGTCATTGTAAAAACCTGGGTGCTGGAGATGTAGCTCAGTGGAAGTGCATGCTTTGCATGTGTGAGGCCCTGGGTTTGATCCTAGCAACACATACACACAAATAAATAAATAAAAATAAAGAAACAAAAGAAAAGAAAAACAGATGGGTGTTGTTGTGCACGCCTATAATCCCAGCGACTTGGGAGGCTAAGGCAGGAAGATCTCAAGTTTAAACCCAGCCTCAGCAATTTAGCGAGGCCCTAAGCAACTCAATAAGGCCCTCAGCAACTCAACAAGACCCTATAATAAAATATAAAAAAGGGCTGAGAATGTGGCTCGGTGATTAAGCAGCCCTGGGTTTAATCCTTGGTACCAAAAACAAAAAAGAAGAAGAAAAGAAAAGAAAAACAAAACCAAAAAATCAGACTCTATTCTTGGAACTCTGTAGAGGACACAAACAAGTAAATTGAGGTAAGCAAGAACATTCAGTATTGTAGTAGTAGTATATGCTAGTGGTATCTATCTTTGCCCTCCTGCTTTTCCTCCTCCTCATTTCCTGACCTATAGTAAGGACTCTGTAAAAAATTGACTTTTGGAGCTAGAGTTGTAGCTCAGTGATAGAGTGCTTGCCCTGGGTTCAATACTCAGCACCACATAAAAATAAAAAATAAAAGGTATTGTGTCCAACCACAACTAAAAAATAAACTATTTTTAAAAAATTGACTTTGAATTGAATATGATTTTAATAAATAGAAAACAACATAAGAGTGCCATACTTATCTGTATAGTGTAGAGCTCTTGAAATAAAGAAGAAAAAAAGGACAAGCTAAATATTTAAACAAAACTTAAGTTTCTAATGCACAACTCCCAGTATTAAGACACCTATTACTTGCTAAAACAATGCCACATTTCTGACACATAACAGCCAAAATGATGATAAAACAGTAATAACAACAGAATACCATTAATACCAAATATACTACCCAATATTTAGATAGTATTTACTATGTATATGTTCCAGGCTCTAGTTTAAAATTTTCACTTATTTAAACTATCTAAACAACATAATACCCCTATGAGGTAGGGGCTGTCACTATAAAGGTAGCTAAAGCACAGAGAGATCAGGAAGTTGCCCAGGTCACACAACTCTGCTGAAGTAGACTTCAGATGCAGGCAGTCTGATTCAGGGCCCAGGCTCTTGGCCACTGTGCAATACTGCCTCATCTGTCTGTTCAGTACAAAGCCAGCATGAAACTTCATGTCTCCTTTTCCTGGCTTAAATATCTCCTCACTGCTTATTCTATGGAATTGGAAATTTTAGTGCCTGGAGAATCTTTAGCTGGTCCTGAAAAAGGAGTCAGAAATCATTCTCATCATTTGAAATATCAGAAAAGATAGATCTCCATGGCCTCACCTGGTTAAGTAAACAGAATTGTAAGCCCAGGTAACTGGGGGTTTCTAACATTTCTAAAAGTATATATACAGGAATGAATGTCCAGAGGGCTCTTGTGGAAGGCTGTGGCCACATCTGTCCATAGAAAACCCAGAGTGGACTTAAGTGAAAGTGTCTTGGTCCTGCAGCAAAGGTACACTTTAGGGGAGATTTCAGTGCCCAAAAGCTTGACATCAGATATAACTGACTTTGTTTACTGAATAACTGAATTATTCTCAAGAATCTTAGTATAAATTGATTCTGGGTTCATTTGTGTTTGGCATATATAAGCACTAGATTTTCTGTGGCTAAGTTAATGCCAGAGAAAGTAGACTTCAAAGCAGTGAGTATTGCTAAAATAAAGTGAGGATTTTTAAAAATGGATCACCTTATGGGAAGATTTAATAATTCTAAATCTGTAGGAACCTAATAACAGAGCTTGAAACTACTTGAAACAAAAATTGACAACCCAAGGAAGGAAAAGACAATTCTACAGATAGATGGAATTGATGATATCCTTCTCTCTCAGTGATTGATAAATCAAGTAGATAAAAAATAAACAAGATGATATCACTGTAAAGAGTTGACTAAAAGATCTACAAAAATTCTCTCCTCCATAAAATCAATGAGAAAACTGGCAAAAAAGGTCAAAATCAACTTTTCTAGAATTCTGGAAATGAACCAAAAGCTTGCAGCAGTCTAGGAAGTATTGCTCAAGAAACATGACTAATGTTCTCTGAACTTTTTAACTATAGAAATATTGATGAAGTTGTGGAAATAACATACAAATGAAGTTCTAACCTTTTTGTCTCTAGGTTTAATTGCTCTGTAAAGGGAAAGCTAGTGGGGAAGATAAGAGGGAATTTCCTGAGTGAAACTCATTCTGTTCCCATGGTACTTGAAAGCAGTTGCACTTGGAGAGTCTTTGTGAGCTCAAAATCTCTGGAGTTCTTTTTGTTTATTGTGCAAGATGGTGACCTGAGAGCCTTGCTAGTAGCTTGTGTGAACTGAGAGCTCCTCTTGGAGAGGATAGGTAAAGGTAGAAAATCAGCTTGATCACGAAAGGACAGCTTCTTGAAGTCTGAAGGACAGAGAATTAGGTGCTTGCCTGGTGTGCTGCTTGCTTTCTTGGTGGTACCTGTGGGTAGAATTAAGTGCTAAACATGACATTTGGAATTTATCACTGAGGAACAAAAAGCAGCAGTTCTAAGACTGATAGCAACTGTTTTCACATAAATGGAAATGGAGTGATTTGACCTCTCTTGTTATATTACCCATTGACTGACTACAGGAAATACAGCATAGCAATCATTTAGTATACTATTCTGTTTTCAGAACTAAAACTACTCAATGTCAAAAAAGAATAAGAAAAAAAAAAACATAGCCAAGAATAATAAGCTGTAGTAATAAGCTGCTAACATTTCAACTTGTTTCAGTCCTATCTCTCCCTTCCCAGTTCCCCAGTAGTTGTGAAAGGTGGTAGTCCATAATCATGGTGAAAAAAAGTGGCCTGGTGGCCATCAGAAAAAACAAACAACATTACAATTCCTTCAAAGCCTTATTCCCAAGTTATCATTATTTGACCATCTAGTAGATCTCAAGAAGACCCTGCTTATAGGCTGTCTTTATATGGCCCATCTTGGAGCTCACCCAGTATGGACAACTTTTTCAGATAGGGTATGGTAATAGGGAGATTAAAAGGGAGAACATTCATCAGAAACCATTAGAGGAATTATTTTAAGATTCTACATACCTGCAGCACCAGATAGCATTTAGTACAGATAATGAAGGCTTACTAGAAAGCTTAAAAGTAAAAGCTAGGGATGAGATTCTGAAGGAGCTTTGAAAACCTTCGGTATACCTGGGAATCTAGAAGGTTACATGTATGCCCAGGGTGTTACATATGTGCTTAGAAAAGGACCTGAGAGGAAACTAAACTCTCACCTCTGGCTGACCAAGCAGGAAGTGGCAGCTAAGGTAGAATTGTAAGCTTCTCAAGTAAGTGTGTGTTGAAGGTGTGCTCTGGCATGTGCACAGAGCCTCTAGGCAGCAGCTAGAAGACTTACTGGCTCTGGTATTTGTGGAAATCTGTGCCCAGTTGTTAGCTGACGACCAGATGAGTAGAGATTTTAATAATCACATATGACAGAATACAGACATTTTACAGAATTAGTTGAGGAAAATCAACAAATAGTAACAGCAACAATAACAAATCCAGGAGTGGATGGTCAAATATGAGTTCTAGAGTTGCCACATTATAGTGTCTGTTTGGCTGGCTGGCTTCCTTCCTTCTTTTCTTCCTTCCTTCCTTCCTTCCTTCCTTCCTTCCTTCCTTCCTTCCTTCCTTCCTTCCTGGGGATTCCTTTATCTTATTTTTTATTTTGAGACAGGGTCTTACTAAGTTGCTGAGGCTCGCCTTGAATTTGCAATCCTGCCTCAGCCCCTTGAGTTGCTGGATTTACAGGTGTGTGCTAGTGTTTGGTTATTAGCAAAAAATTATAAGACATGCCAAGAAAGAAGAAAGTATGCAGATGGGGAAAAGTCAATGGAAATTGTCCTTGAGGAAGCTCAGACATAGAATTTACTAGACAATGACTGTAAACTATCTACTTTAAATATGTTCTAAGAATAAAAGAAAACAATGTCTAAAGAACTAAAGAAAAGCACAAGAGTAATGTCTTGTCAAATAGTAAATGCCAATGAAAAGAAATTATTTAAAAAGAACCTAATAGTATTTCTGTAGAGAAAAAGAACAGTAACTGAAATGTAAAATTCACTAGAGAAGCTCAACAGTGAATTTGAGCAGGCAGAGAAGAATCTACAAACTTGAAGATAGTTTGAGAATGGGGAAAAAGAAAAAGAAAGATAAAGAAAGACTTAGAGGCCTTTGAGATGCCATGAAGTGCACCAGTGTAGGAATAACCGAGGTTCCAATTGGAGGGGAGAGTGAAAGAAAGACAAAGGAATATTCGAAGAAGTGATGTCCAGAAACTTGTCAAATTTAATGAAAAATAATAATTTGTACATCCAAGAAGCTTAACAAACTCCAAGTAGGATAAATTTAAAATGGCCTATACCTAGACACATCATTATCAAATTGCTGAAGGCAAAGAAAAGAATCTTAAAGCAGCAAGAAAGACTCTCCATGTATAAGCAATCCTCAATAAAATTAACAGCTGATTTCTTACCAGAAACTATGAAAGCCAAATGGCAGTGAGATGACATAGTCAGAGTACAGAAAGAAAAAAAAAAAAAAAGAACCTTAAGAATTCTATATCTAGCAAACCTGTTCTTTAAAAATTAAAAGAGAAGAAGAAGTAAAAGTATTTTTCTTGCAGATGATATGACTTCATGTATAGAAAATCCTAAGGGATTCAGTAAAAATTTCTTGAGACTTACAAGTTGAACAAGCTTGTAGGTTTTTAACATCAAAATACAAAAACCAGTTTTATACATTAGACTTTTAATTAACACTCCAAATGGAATTAAGAAAATAATTTCATTCATATTACCATCAAAAAATAAAATATTTAGGATCAAGTTTAACAAAAGTAGCATAAAACTTATACTTTGAAAAATACCAAACACTGTTGAAAGAAATTAAAGAAGATGTGAATAAATGAAAGATAAACCATTTTTTTCTGGATTGGGTCTTAATAATTGTTAAAATGGCAGTACTTCCCAAATTGGTGTGCCAAGCCATATAATCTTTTATTTTTTAAAATTAGAACATTATAATTATGCACAGATCATACAGTCTTCATCAAAATTCCAACTGGCTTCTTTGCAAAAGTTGACAAGCTGATCATAATATTCATTTAGAAATTCAAGGGACACCGAATAGCCAAAACAGTTTTGGGAAAAAAAAATTAGAAGACTCATACTTCCTAGTTTCAAAATGTACTACAAAGCTATAGCAATCAAGATATTGTAGTACTGGCATAGGACAGACATGTAGATCAGTGTAGTAGAATTGAGAGCTCAGAAATAAATACCATTTGTAGGGAATTGATTTTCAACAAGTGCTGAGAGCCATAGCCAGTAGGAATGACATGGCACTTTTTGCCAGCAAGCCATTGAGATGATAATGATTATGTTAAGATGTGCATTCAATTGGAGATTAGACCCCTGCTGTCCGCCTTGGCCTGCTACTTTGGAGCTCTCTCAGGACTCCCGGAGAGTTCCCATTGGTTGGGGAAGTGCAATAGGAGGGAATTCCAGAGGAGGGATTTCCTGTTGGTGTGGTGTGTACCGGGAGAAGGCTGCTTGCGTGGCATTTGGAAATAAAGTTTGTTCCTGCTTGAGTGGCTCCTGATTTTGTGCCCAGCCAGACTGTGGCATTTGGTGGCCCGTATGGCTGAGGCAGGATTGCAAGTTCAAGGCCAGCCTTGGCAATTAAATAAGACACCATCTCAAAAAACAAGTCTGGGGATACATCTCAACGCTAGAGCTTTGCCTGGCAGAGCTTTGCCTGGCGTGCTCAAGACCCTGGGTTCCATTCCCAGTAGAGAAAAAATAAAAGAAACCTCAGTGAGATCCCAATTCATTCCTATCTGAATAGTCAAAATTGTATAAAGACTGACAAAATCAAATATTGGTGAATATAGAGCATCTGGACCTTTCATACATTGCCAGTGACACATAAAATAATAAAACCACTTTCGAAGTCAGTATTTTATTTTGGACACTTATCCTGTGACCTAGCAGTTTCACTTCTGTGTGTCTGCCTAAGAGAAATTGAAAGGTGTACACAATAAGACTTATATATAAATGTTCATAGCCTTTTCCTTATATAACAGCCCAGCAACAGGGTTTGTGTCCAACAACAGGAGAATAGATAGGCAGATTATAGTATGTTTATTCAAAGAAATATTATTTAGCAATAAAAGGAAAGAAGCTTATCAGTGATGGGTTGGGAGGGGGACTGACTACAAAGAGGCAGAAGGGATGTAGAAATGTTCTCTATCTTGATTGGTCTTTTAGGCACTCAGGTGTATACATTTGTCAAAACTCATTGAACTGTGCCCTTAAAACATGCACATTATATTTCAGCAAAATTATTATTTTTTTAGGTAGTATAAGCCAGATGTGGTGCCATGTACCTGTAGTCCCAATACTCACAAAACTGAGGTGGGAGAATTATTTGAACCCAAGAGTTCAAGACCATCCTGGGCAGCACACTGAGACTCCATTTCAATTAAAAAAAAAAATACCAAAGGGGGGTTATAAACAGACAACCAGATAATATGCAACAGAGATCATCTATGGTCTGTGCAGCCTAAAATATTTACTGTCTTGCTTAACTGAAAACATTTGCTGACTCCTACTAATGTGTAGTTCTGAGGATGAAAGCAGAAACAATGGGTATTGGGTAGATGAGCAGGAAAAGAAAATCTGAAGTATATTTCTGCTATATTGAGTAGAATGTTGGTGTTTTTCTGTCATGGATTACAATTGTTCAAAAGGCAGAACCTCTGATAGATTCTTATCCTAGTTTTTTCCATTGTGTTATCCTGTACTCCAGCCAAACCAGGGAAGTTGAAATTCCCCATGAGGTGCTCATCTGCCCTGTGTCAGTTCCTATATGGAGACTGCCCTTTCTTCTTTGTCAGTCAGTCTTCCTTGTCTAAGCCTGCTTCCTCAGTTGGGCATGGTCAGTCACTGCCTGTGTTTCATAGCACTTGGTTCACTCCAGCAGACTAACACAGAGCACACCTGTTACACGTGTCTCTTCACTGGTTTGTACCTCTCAGTAGACTGTGAGTTCCTTGAGTATGGGAACTAGATCTTAAACTTCTGCCGATAGCACCTCACACCTTGGTGTGTGCGTTGTGCATGTTTATTGAACTGAATCAGCCCCTGGCAGCCCTCAACATAGGAGCATGGCTTGAACAGAGTCCAGAGAGGCATTCATTCAGGCACAGGCTGCAGGCGGGGGAAGAGGAAGCAAGTTCCCTGGGGCTGATGTATCTGAATTTCATCTCCAGCGAACTGAACAGAGGGATGTGAGGAAAGCAAAGTTGAAAGAAAAGAAGGAGCAGAATCAGAATGAGGCTTTACTCCAAGCCATCAAGGTAAGTTCTCAAACCTTAGGTCCCCCAGTCCTGCAAAATCCACTAATCCTGTGATGCCTGCTGGGGACCTTTCTTACTGGAATGACTGTGTTCATTTTCTTTCTGCTTTGGTGAAGCAGTGTGACAAAGGAGCCCCGTCTCTGGAGTCAGACCCCCCCCCTAGTTGAGTCAGCTCTCCCACTGTGTGAATGTGCTGGTCTCTAATATACTGAGTACTGCTCTGGGTCAAGTGACCTCTCCTTTCATCTTCACTACAGCATCTGAGGGGGGTCTTCTTGTTCCTGTTCTGCTAACTGTTGAAATAGCCTCAGAGAGGTGAAGAAACCTCACACAGCTAATGAGTGTCAGCCAGGGCTTTGCTCTTCATCACTGTGTTATACTACATCCTGAGAAGCTGAATTTTTAGGATGTTGCTCTTTTATCACAACAACATCCTGTCTCCCTTTTCCTCTGTTTCCTGCATTTTGAAATTTATGTACTGTGACTCAAATCTTGCTTGAACCTTGTTAGTGCTGGCTTCATTTCCATAAGATACATAACACCTGTTGAGAGATTGTGGGGTGGGTTTTGATTTGATTTTTTGTTCAGTTAAATTATCTACACATTTAAGGTACATGTTTGACTTTAAGAATTTAACACTTCTAAAATGCCTCCACTTATCTTTATAACAAACAATCTGTTAACGTGTATTAACAAATAGAATATAGTATTCCAGATTTCTCTTCTCATTCACAATGAAAGATTTGGTCATTTTCTCAAATGTAGGATATTGGAATGCTAGACATTTACATACAGACTTTTTTTTTTTTTTTAAATTTGATTTTCTCCTTTAGTCCAACCCTGCATCGTAGATTTCAGTATACATGAGAATTATTCTCAATAGAACACAAGCTATACTTTATTTATTTTTTAAACATATTTTTAGTTACAGATGGACACAGTAGTTTTATTTATTTTTATATGGGCTGAGGATCAAACCCAGTGCCTCACACGTGCTAGACAAGTGCTCTACCAGTAAGCTGCAACCCCAATCCTTACTGATGGTTTTAAGCAGGATCAGCAAACTACAGCCATTGGAACACAGCTTTGACTGTTCCTATATTATTTATGGTAGTTCTCACACTACAATAGCAAATTTGGTTAATTTCAACAGAGACTATTTAGCACACATTATCAGATTCTTTAAGAAAGTTTGGTAGTCCCTGTTTTATCAAAAGTAATTCTGATTGCATATGATTTCCCTTCATGTGCTAAACTTATAAACCTCTACACATGTACATAAGAGGTGACCTTTCTATTTAGACCCTTGATTGATCCTCATTTCTTTATCTGACTGTCAAGATAAAGTCTGTATACATTTTTTGTAGTATCCTATGTCCTAGCCAAATTGAAACACTTGACATTTTTGTCCAGGCTACACTCTTGATCTTTTCTTTGTCTTTGCACATGTTATTTCTTGTGGTGGCATATTATTCTAATCTCCTACCCCCATCTTCTCTGCCTTTCAAAGTCATCATTCAGAGCTTAGCATTTTCCAATACTTCCAGCCCCAAGGTGAATTATTCCATTGTCTGCAGTTCCACAATTGTACTTCTTACTTTTTATTGTAATTATTTCCATAGCTGTCTCCCCACTAGACCATAAACAAAGGCTTAAGGGCCGGAGGTGGGGGGAACCATGTCTGCTCCTCTCTGTGACATGGTCCACATGGCAGATACATGGTAGATGCCTAGTGAAAGTGAGTTAAACAAGTGGTGCCTACTGTGCCGGCCAGTCCTCAGGGATCGTGATGATTAATCTTGGGTAGAGCTGGCCCTCTGGGAGCTTACGTTGTTAGGTTTCCCTATTTCAGTGAAATGGATTTCTGTCTTCCCACATAATAAGGGTCTGGTGTGTGCGCGTTTCTGTCTTTAACCCAGGCTAGGAACATCAGGCTCATCTCTGAAGCTGCTGGTGAGGATGAAGATTCAGCCTCAGAAGGTATAGGTGAGATTTTTCTGGATGGACTTAGCTCTGAGAATCCCTATGGAGCCAGGCTGAGTCTAGATGACCAGGGAAGGCTAAGCTGGCCTGTGCTCTTTCTGTACCCGGAGTATGCCCAGTCGGACTTCATCTCTGCTTTCCATGAGGACTCCAGGTAATCACTTGCCCCAAAACCTTCTACTCTGGCTGGCATTCTCTCTCCCTGCTGTCTTTGTAGATAGGACAGGTGGATTTTTGGTTGAGAAGGGAAAAGAATAGTTCAGAGAGTTTCATACAACCTGATTTGATATAACTTCTCTATCCTATAGCTGAGTGAACTTCTGTTAACTAGGTTTTAAAAAAAATTTTTTTTATTTATAGATGGACATAATACCTTTATTTTATTTGTTTATTTTGTATGTGTTGCTGGGGATTGAACCCAGTGCCTCACGCATGCTAGGCCACAGTACCAGTCCAACTAGGTTTTAATGATAGATACAAGTCTCATTGTCATACTACCTGGGCTGGTCAGTGTAACACCATAGTATAGTGTTTGCCAAAGAGTGGCACACCTCTGGTGAAGTGTGAAATCATTTTAGGTAGTACACATAGTAATTTAAGTGTATATTTATTAGAAAAAAAAATAGCACATTTATCTTGTGATTTCATAGGGTTAATGCTTAGAATATGGCTAAATAAGAGAAATGTTTTTAACGCTTGAGTCTGTTTAAATAAATTATGTCATAGATAAGTGATATGCATATACCACATTTTGGGCACTACCGTCAGAATGGATTAAACCTGTTTTGCGTTTTTTACATTCTTTTTGTCTCTGTGAATTGCTGTCCAGGGACTGATGTAGGAAAGTAGATCTTGAGTTTTTGATACCCAGAAAGTATATGTTACATCCTTAGGTTTATTGATCATCTAATGGTGATGTTCAGTGAAATACCCGCTTGGGACTCAGAGCAAAAATACCGCCCTGATAATCTGGAGGTAAGAGAAGTTTTATTTTGTTCCTTTATGAGATTTTATTTTGGGGAGGGGACAAAAGGGGAGAGATTAACTGCTTTTTTAAAAAGTTGTAAGATATATATAACATTTTTAACAGTTTAATCATTTTAGGTACACAGTTCAGTGACATTAAGTAGATGCACAGTGTTTTCCAATATTATCTCCACAACATTTCATAATCCCAAATTGAGATTCTTCACTTATCAATCAATAACTCCCATTCTTCCTTTTCCCCATCCCTGGCAACCACCATTCTTTCCTATTTATGATTGTGACTGCTCTGGGTACCACACATAGTTTGAATTTATAGTGCTTGTTCTTTTGTGTCTGGCTTATTTCACTTAGCTAGTATCTTCAGGGTTCATCCATGTTGTATTATATGTCATATTATTGTATGTGTCATCCTTCCTTTTTAAGGCTGAATAATATCCCATTATTGGGATTAAAAAATATTCAGTTTATAGTAGAAAGAATTTATCTTTTTGTAATCATTTGAAATTAAGATGCCAACTAATGTCCTAAATTCCTGTACTTGTGTATGTGTTTCTTACAAGGACATTTTTCTTCATAATCCCCAAATAGCCACCAAAGTCAGGGATTACATTGGCGGCACACTGCTGCTCTTTGATCCTTGGGCTCCACTCAATGTCCTTCCCAGCCCATGGGGCCTTTCAGAACCATGCTGGGCATTCAGTGATCATATCCTGTAGTCTCCTCTGCATAGAAATGTTCCTCAGACTTTTCTCTAGTTTTCTTAACTCTGTGCAGATTGTAGACCATTTGTGGAGTGCCTGTCTGTGGTTTGTTTCATGTTTCTGTGACTGAATTTGGGTTCTATATATTCAGTTGGACTATCACAGAAATAATGCTGTGTACTCATTGCATCCTATCAGGTGGTACCTGATTTCAGTTTTCCCCCTTACTGAAATTCAGTGATCGCCTGATGGGAAAGGGGTCTGCCAGGCTTCTCTAATATACAGTTATTCTTTCTCCTTTATGATTGATAAGAATTTTATAGGGAGGAATTTTGAAGTGATGTAAAGATCTCATTGTTCCTCAAACCTTCAATATATATTTTTTTTAATATTAGTAAATTTATGGTTTATTCTTTTATTTATTTATTTATTTTTTAAAGAGAGAGTGAGAGAGGAGAGAGAGAGAGAATTTTTAATATTTATTTTTTAGTTCTCGGCAGACACAACATCTTTGTTTGTATGTGGTGCTGAGGATCGAACCCGGGCCGCACGCATGCCAGGCGAGCGCACTACCGCTTGAGCTACATCCCCAGCCCTGGTTTATTCTTTTATTCAAATTTTCTTTATAATGTGCTACTCTGATTATTTATTTTATGCTTAATTGTCCTAGATTTGGCCAGTGGGAATATCTTCAAATTTTATCCTTTTGACTTACCTCCATGTTTTAAGCACAAGATGTTCCAAGTTCTGAATGAGTTTTCCTTGCCCTAGCTCTGAAGTCAGTCATTTCACCCCAGGAGCCTTGGTTCTTTCTAGTGGAGAATGCTATTTAGAAGCCCAAAGCTCTGTGCCTTCTCAGTGCCTCCCTGCTAGAGAGCATGTATATGTGTATGTAAAAACATGCGGTATCTCCAGTTCTAACCCTCACTACAGGATTTGTTTTTTCCTTTCTATGTTTGTAAAATGACTTTAGTATTCTTAATATACTTAACTTGTCTAATCATCTCCCCTGCCTGTCACTAGCACTGGTTCCTCTCCTCCATGGAATAGTCCTCAGCCTTTCTGTCCTCCTGACTCTTAGGCTGCTGCCCCAGCAGGCTGCCTTCCTCATCCTGTGCAGGATCTGACATCCATCCCTACTTTCACATCCTCCTCATCCTGCTTGGGTTCTTGCTATACAACAGGCTGACTGGTTGCCCTCCTCACCTGCTTTTGTCCTTATTGTCCACTTCAGGTGTCCTACACATGGACATGCTCCTCATCCCACTTAGGCTCTGACCCACCCTGGACAGCCATCTGAGAGGGAAGCCCTTCTCACTTTGCTGAGGCTGCTGGCTCCCAGCAGGGACCCCTCCTCCATTGGTCTAGCTCTGACACCCCTCCCCCTGACTCTCCCACACAGATACCTGCTTAGTTCTTTGCTCTGGGTTACCATGGCTTTCTTCCCACCCCACAGTGGCTCAAGGACTAAATTGTTAGGGAAGAGAAGGTTACATGGGCCTGGGCTTGAGCCTTGGCTTCTCTCTTTACTACTGGTGACATTGAACCTTGGTTCTGTCTTTGGAGAATGGAACTGCTAGCCTTTCTCATGGTGTTGAGGGGAGGACTGAATGCAACACACTTGGTCCTATAGCTGTGGAAAGGGGGCATTCAACCAACAAGGGTTACAATTTCCTTAACTTGTCTCTGGGATGGACCTTAATATGCCTCTGGCTATTGAAGCTCTTGGTTTCTGACTCTATTCCATTAATCTTATAGGTCTACTTTGAGGATGAGGATGGGGCAGAACTATACCAAGTACCTCCCAAGAGCACCCTGTTGCAGGTGCTGCAGCACCCCAGGTAAGCAAATCTGTGGGTCTGAGTAGACTGGGGAAGATGCTCAGGCACCTCCCCAGGGGTACAGCCAGTTTCTCATTCCTCCACTCAGTGATCACCTTGTACTTTCCTCCCTTCTGCGCTGGCACAAAGCTGTGTGAGACAGCAGCCATATGGGCTGGTCGGGCCCATGAAACCCAGCTGTTTGCCAGACAGCTTGCAAGGTGATGACAGCCACTGTACTACAGCCCTGATGCCCCCAGGCCAGGGCAAGTAAATAGGCTGGTCTCAGATGAGAAAAGCTGCCTGGCTTTTGTACCTGAAGGCAGCAGAACGGAATAGCATTTATTTACTATTTATTAAGCATTATTTTTTTATTATTAGTTGTTCAAAACATTACATAGCTCTTGACATATCATATTTCATACATTTGATTCAATTGGGTTTCCTAATTTTTCTCTTGTCTCCTGGTACTGTCATGTGAAAGAGCATTGGCTTTTGAAGTCAGAAACCTTCATTCACTGACCATGTGACCCTGAGCCCACTATGCCTCCCTGGGGCTCTTCCTTCATCTCTAGAATAGGAACAGTAACTCTCACCTGTGTTTCTCAGGCACTTGAGTACCACTGAGCCAGTAGAAGTAAGAGTGGTCTTATAAACTATGTAGGATAAGCCCTCTGCAATAGGATATCTTTGTCACTAGCGGTAGCAGCAGGTGGGATTTGGCGGTTGTCTCTCATCTGCTTATATGCGAGTGCCCTCAGCATTAGTAAATTGACTATTAGACTGCTTTCTTTAATTTTGAGCAAAGAGAAGGCAGGCAGGTTCTTTTGCGCTTAGGTTAAAGGAGCCCAGTGTTTTGGGGAGAAAGAAAGTGGCTGGGTGTGGTAGAAAATGAGGCTGAAGAGCTAAGTTAGAACCACACATGAAGCATAAACTTGAATGCCTTGTTAAGGCACATCAACTTTATACCCTGGTAGTGTAAGGAGTCACAGAGGTATTTGTTTAAATAAACTGTACATAGTAATGTAGAGGTTTGAAGTGTACTCTTGGGTAAGCCCTGAAGTATGAGGGGATGGGTTGGAAAAAGCTTTAGAACAAATGGGATAGGTGTTGGTGAAGTGCTGACTGAATTGGTAAGGGTCAAGGTCTAGCTGAGCTTGATGCTTCTGATTTGCCTTGGGAGGCAGGTAGGGAAGACTCTCCAAATTTGATTAGTAGTTCTCTTAGTGGTATTTTGCTGTGATCCCAAATCTTCCTTCTAGTTTATGGACAGAATATCAGCTGATCATTTTCTCTGTTGTTAGTAAATTGCCCAGAATTCTTAAGGCCTGAGGTCCACCTTGTACCCCATTTCCAAAAAATAAAGCAGACTGATCCATGGAGGAAAAGCAATTTCATACTTTTAGAAAATGTAAATGGTATTAGGAGTGATACTTAGGCTATCTGGGATGGGTTTCTGGAAGCTCCAGACCCTGAACTGGGTGGAGCCAAGAAACAGACCCCTCTGTCCAGAACCAGACACTGGATGATGCAAACACCCTTAGACCTGGGAGGCCAAGGCCCTGCCCATCTCTCTAACCTGTCTCACTCTATTTACTCTATGTTCCAGCGATAGCTTTATGCTCTGGTAATCTGCACCTCCTGGCTTTTGCTCCCCTACTCCTCAACCCCTTCCCCAAATTAAAGCCATGTTCCGACATGGCATCTTCTAGGGAGCCTTTCCTGGTTCCTCTCCCTGTAGAGGGAATTGTGCCTCCTTGCACTGAGGCTGTATTTCACAAATGCTCCTACAGTTGTGCTTGCTGCCCCCATCTCCCAGGATTGAACCTGAGAGCAAGGGACAATAGTTTTTTACTTTTTTTCCTCTATGTTTTTATATGTTCTTTTTTGAGGGGGGATGGGGGGCGGAGTATGAGGGATTGAACTCAGGGGCACTCAACCACTGAGCCACATCCCCAGCCCTATTTTGTATTTTATTTGGAGACAGGGTCTCACTGAGTTGCTTAGTGCTTTGCTTTTGCTGAGGCTGGCTTTGAATGCATGATCCTCCTGCCTCTGCCTCCTGAGCTGCTGGGATTACAGGTAATCTGCACATCCTGGCTGTATGTTCATTTTTTAATCTGTTTTCAACACAGGGCCTAGGTTGTCCTTGTCACTCACTGACTGCTGAATGAATAAATGAAAATGTTTTATGATTTTATTTATCCACAGATAAGCATTGATGCTGGAAGACTGGCCTAGAGGTTCTGATTAGGTTGTAAGGGGAAGAATGTCATGCTAGTTTTACAGATTTATAAACAGCCAAACAAATAAATTTGCTAAACTTGGGTTTTAATGTTTACTCATATCAAAGGTTCACCTTGAATGCTGTTGGGAAGGGCCATGGATGATTTAAGATCATAATTTAGTTAACCCCCTTTCTTTGTGTGTTTACTGCAGGTACTCTGTAAAAGCCCTGACACCAGCATTTCTGGTCTGTGTAGGATCCTCTTCTTTTTGCAAGAATTATCTCCGGGGGAGACAGGTACACCAGATAAAGTGACTGAACCAGGCTGTGACAGCCAGCTTTCCTGGATCTCCTGCGTCACCTGCCTCTGCCTGGAATTTAGCTCACTTGAATCAGCGGGACACATTCTCGGTCCAGCAGTGTTTTTTTGTCACCCCTGAGACAGTCCTTCCTATCTTCATGCTGGAGGAAGGATGAGCCTCTGACCAAGTACTGAGCTCTGGCTGTTTATCACTCTCCTAGTGGATACAAAACTCTGTGCCTTGGTTGTGATGTCCTTGTAGTGCATCTCAAAGAGACTGTCTGCTGCTGTTACCACAAAAAACTCACTGGCCTATGGAAACCAACTCATGATATGACATGCTTCTGAACCTTTGTGGTGTCAGGCACCTTAGGAAAGAACACTCTTCTAAGTCAGTAAAACCAGCTCTGTGTAGAGTTGTAAGGCCTTAAAGCTAGGATCCTTGGTACCCCTTAGAGGTTTGCCAGTTTCCCTGGTCTTTGCAGTGTGAAAACTCCAGTAGACTTGGACAGTGGTCTCTCAGTTCCTCTCTGGTTTTCACATTTTAGGGTTTTATGCCTTCTTGTTTGTTTGCCTGTTTGTCTTGAGTTGGGGTCCTGCTGTGTTTCCTAGGCTGCTCTCAAACTCCTGAGCTCAAGTGATCCTCCTACCTCAGCCTGCTGACTGCTGGGAACAGGCATGCATCATTATTGCTCCTGGCTAGGCTTTTAGTCCTTTTAAAATAGAAAATCTTTTTGCATCTTGGATCATTGTGATAGGTTATATTTTTGTCTTCAGCTATTTGTTCCCCATGTCCTAGAGGGCTTTGTGTATATTTACTGGTAGCTGTGTTAATTCCTGCAGTGGCCACCCCTTCCCCTGGTGGGAGTGTACTTCTTACTGCTCATGCAAAATGATGTGAGCAAACGGGACCTGTGCTCATCCAGAAGCTTGAAGAGCCGGTACATGGTGGCTTGTGCTCTTTGACTCTTCTGTGAGATCCCAAATAGGGGCATTGCCTTCAGCTTGAGTGACAGAGTGGGAAGGCACAGGGAGCAGAGCCCAAGCAGCCGGCCAGAAGCCATTGATTGTAACATGAATGAGAAATAGATGTTTGAGATTTGGGGTTGTTGGTTACAATAGCAAAGCTGACTAATACTTCATTAAACTGAAACCAGCTGCTGTCCTTCAGATGAGCTAGTTTGGGGTTTGTCTCAAGTGCATCATTGTTTTTGAAAGAGAAATTGGCTGTGGAATATTTACAAAGAACCAGACAGCTTTCCTTCCAGGTGCTGGTTCCTGCCAGGCCAGGATCTTTCCCAAGCCTGGTTTTGGCCACATTTAGGCCATCCTCTCTCACTTAAATCTGTCTCCCTTTGTAAGAACTCAGAGTTTTGGGGAGAGGGCATAACATGTAGTCAGCAACAACCCCTTCAGGCATTGAGGGTTCTTGTAGCAGCTGTCCCTGGCCACCTCACTGTTGTGGAGCACAGTAGGCTCCACTGTGCCCTCTCTTATCTCTGATTAGAGATGCCTGCACAGCCTCCTTCCTAGACACTGTGAGACTGAGATGAAGTGTTGGATGCCACCAAATTGTACATTGAAATGTACCTGAGAAGAGTTCTGTGACTTTTATCCTCAGCACCCAGCCTTCTCCTTCAGCTCCTGGCAGGCTAGGCCATCAGCCAGCTTCTTGCTGTACCTTCTCTTCAGTTTCTACTCCCCTCCAACAGCTGGGGCAGAGGGAAGAGAGGGACTTAGAAGACAGTATTAGACCAGAGGTAGAGCTCAATGGCTACTGCTTTGCTATGAATGTGGGTAGGTTGGGACTGCTGCTTGGAAACTGCTTCACCTGTAAAATGATGGTGACACCAGCTTATTGATGGCACTTCTGTGCGATAGTACATGTAAGTACCTAGCTCAGTGCCTGGCCTGTACTAATTCAGTGGCTCTTCACTTAAGCACACTATATCCAGGGGCACATCTATGCAGACAGGTAGCACTAAACCAGGGAGGGATTCACAACCAAAAGTAAGATTGTCTCCTGGGGGACATAATTACTTTGTGGGTGCTACTGACATTGAGTATAGAGGCCAGGGATGCCTTTAAACACCATATGGTGTACAGGACAGCCCCCACAAGGAATTAGTTGTCAATAATGCTGAGATTGAAAAATGCTGCTCTAAACCAAAAAGATAAAATAAACACTATAAAAGACCATGTATGTTGAAATACTTTTAAAGTAACCATCCCATTAAGTACTTTTTCAGCCTCTCCCAGGTCTATCAATAGAGGTGCATAGAGGATCCCATGTCCATTGACTTCTTAGTCATTTATGCCTAAGTCATCAGCACTTATTAAAGGAGGGCTCTGACTCTGCTGAGACAAGATCCTGTATTAAAGGGCTGTAATCACATAGGAAGCTGGGATCCAGCTCTGACACACTGTGGGGGTCACATGACATTCTCTCTCTCTGAAGTGTCAGATGGAGAAGGAAAATGGAGGACTGGATGTTTGCCATGTTCTCTGGTTTTTTACAATTTTATCTCCATCCTTGATGTGAGAAGCAGAATCTGACCCCTTCCTATCAAGGTTCAGTGTGCATTCCTTGCAGAAAGTCCACAAAGAATAGAGCCTGATAAACCATTGTGTGGTGGACATACCAGGCTCAAGGTGTGTATGCAGCTGGAGAGACACTTTTGTGGCTAGAAATAAGCCCACAACAAGTTCTGGGTTAGTGGGCAAGTTGGTGCAGCCTCCTCACTGCTCTTAAATGGAACTGAAGAAATTTATGTGGTCTAGGACAATCCCTGTCATATTATGATGGTCTACCCCTGCTATATGAGTGGCCTGGAGAGATCCCTAAGGCCCTATGCAGTTCTACATTCCAGGTTTAGGAGCCCCGAGTATGGGGGCTTGGGGGTATAGCCATGTGATGCCTCCCTGTCAGTAGGGACTGGAGCTTGGAGAGGTATGTGGCCAGGTAGTGCAGCCTCAGGCTGTTAAGGCCACACAACACAGGTTCTAGAGGGACAAGAAGCAATGGTGATGGGTTAGCAGCTGCAGAGCCAGGTAGCAGGAGTCAGTGGCCTACAGATTAGTAAAGGACTTCCTAGAGAAGAGGCTAATGTTGTAGTCTAAGCCATAGCTGTATTTGTTGAGAGTATGTCACCCATGATGTCTAACATCATCTGCCTAAACCTCTAGATGCTCAGCATGGCCATGTCCAACATACAGAGAAGATGACCAGCTAAAGCAGGACAAGTCAGAAAAGATCAGAGCACATCTCTCCTGATGCCCTCTCCTACCATGACCAGTTGTGGTCATGACTGAGGGACTCGGATGGATCCTGGTTCAAGCCCATGTGGTGTCCAGGGAAAGTTCTTTAACCTCTCTGAGCCTCATAATCCTCAAATCTCTGCAAGATGAGGTCAATAATGGTAGCTGCACTTACTAGATGATAGGATGTACTGCTTTACTTACTTCTGAGGTGATTGAGAATCATAACATATGCTGCATGAGGAAGGCTGTTGGGCCAGACAGTGAGGCATGCAGATCTGACCCTGTGAGACAGATTCCTAGCCACTGGAACCTAGGACTTTGATCCCCAGGCCTTAGAATGTCAAGGGTGTTCTAATTCTGGAGCTAGAAGTGCGCCCTCTCCTAGTGTTTTAGCAGCAGTTGCATGGACCCTTCTGGCTGCACCGCATGATCTGGCTGAGCAGAGGGATGAGTGATCATTCCACATGGGGAAAGGTTCCAGAGGTAACTTAGTGCTGAAGAGGCCCCAGCTGAGCATTCCTGGCAGAAGGCTCAGCACATGTGAAGGCACAGAAACCTTTCCTTCCTCACTGCTCCACACAGCACCCACTCGAAGGACTGTTAACCCTTTGCCACCAGACAGCTCCCTGAGACTTGGGCCTGTGGGATTTCCAGATACCCAGTGGCCCTCGGAGCAGAGCACAGAGAATGTGGTGGGTGCCTGACTGGCATGTTTGAGAACTAGCGAGTAATAATGCTGGAGAAAAGAGAAGATGGGAGGTGAATAGCCTCCTTTGTCATTGGGCTCAAATGTTTGGATGTAAATTGCTACACATTGGACCGTCACTGCTGTGTTGAAGGAAGGAGTGGTTTGCCCAGAGGGGTTTTCTAAAATTCTGGGCAGCCAGTCAAGAGCAAGTCCTCTTGTGGCATCATCCTCAAGGAGCTCTCTTGGATGGAACATGGCAAAAAGCCTCAGGTGACAGAAGGCATAGGCCGAGCCCTATGTAGAAGGGAGAAGCTGCTCTGGCTGAAGCCCAGTATGTGTGCTGCAAAGCCTGAGGGACAGGCTGGTACGGTGACAGTGGCTGGCAGTGACTGGTGGGGACAGGGTCTTTTGTCCCCCCACATACAAGATGCTGAATTCCAAAGCTCACCTGCAGAGTCCAGTGGTGTCTCCCAGCAGGTGAGCTCTCAGCCAGGCAGGTAGGATCACATAAGGACTCACCTGAGTGCCCAGCACCTGACACCGAGGGAGCACGGTGAGAGTGTGCTTAAGAGTGCAGTAAGTGTTTGGATGGCTGAAAGAAGGAACTAATAATGCATCCTGTTCCCAAGCCCCAGCCTGCACACAAGCACCAGCTGTTACAGCATTCCCAGGCACCCGCCCAGCATGGCCACCTGACATCTCCTCCAGGAAGGCTCCTGACCTCCCCTGGCCTCTGCTTTCCCTTTTGCTTACCAGGATAGTGGACTCCGGGAATGGCGGGAGGACTTGAGGTGGTACACAGGAAGCAGGGGGCCTCTGTCCATCCTGGGACTTCTTTCTGCAGAAGGCCCTGCAACCACTGTCCCCATAGAGGGAAGGACTACTACTTGGCTAAGCCCAGTTCACCCCTGCTCTAGGGAAGGAAGAATGAATGAGTGGCAGTAATGGTGGTAACAGGAGCACTGGGAATCAGGGGAGGCCAGGCTGAACTAGGCAAAATGCTCCCCTTCCTATGGGAAGCGGGACAGAAGTGTGTAGAGGGGACAGGGGCATGACCTGATGGTTCCTATGGGAAACGTGGACCTGACCATCATCCGGTGATCCTGGCCACTGGGACAATAACTGAGACTTCAGCAGAGCTCCCATGCTTCTAGCCCCTCCCTGCCACTTTTATGAGATAGGGAAATGGAGGCCCATAGAAGGGGAAGGCTGAGGGCAAGACACACGCTCCATCCATACACTCTGCCCGGCCAACCTGTCTTGAGGGCAAAGCCTCTTCCATCCCCATCCTAGTGACCCTCCCTCTCAGAAGGACCAGAGTTCCCAGAGTCAGAAGTCAGTAACGGAGGCAGTGACATCAAACTTATGTTTGGTTACCTCTGTGGATTTGGAGTGGCAGCTGGAGAATTGAGTAGGGGGACAAAGCTCTCCAAAACACACTGCTGTCAAGAACACAGGGGTGGCCAGGAAAGAACAATAGTCCTGGCCTCTGTTGACTGAATTCCTACATCGTGCTAATGCTGCTAATGCTAGATTCTCTTATTTAATCCTAATAGCACCCTCTTGGATCTGTGACCCCAGTTTTGTAAACATGGAGATGGAGGCATACAGTTGCAGCACTAGTCAGTATCAAGGCCAGCATCTGAACCCACACACCTTACCCAGGGCCCACCATCCCCCTGTCCTCTGTTCATTTCCTTTCTTTACAAATACTTACCTTGCACTTACACAGACAAAGCATCAAGGTCAAAGGGCATCAGGCAGCTCTGCATTCAGTGCCCACTGTTCAGTGGACGTGATGATCCACCCCTGGACTGGGAAATGCTCCAGTGAAGAAACATACAGCTACAACAAGCAGGCCTGTCCTTATGCCTACTCAGAGCCCTCCCAGGCTCCCCTTCTCTCATCAGCACTCTCAGCGTGACATTCAAGGCCCTTCAGGATCTGGGCCCTTGCCCCTGCTGCAGCTTCCTCCTTCCTCTTTGACCCCCTGAGCCCAGACATCCTGGACACAGTTCATCTCTGCAGCAGGAGGGTGCGGTGGCTAAGGGGCTCACTTCTGGAGTGAGGCCATCTGCATTCCATTTCCAGCCCCATGCTCACCCCTGTTGGTCTTGGGCACTTTGCTTAGGCTCTGTGGCTCTTTCCTCATCTGCAATATAAGCAAGATAATAGCATCTACCTCATGAAGGTGCTGAAGTTGAAATTTCTGTGAAGCATATAGAACACAGCCATGTTCTCTTAGCTTTGGGCCTTTGCACCTTGTTCCCTCAGCCTGGCCCACTCTGCCTCCCACTTGCTTCCCTCTCTTCACCTCCAACTGTTCCTGCCATCATTGCTTAATGCCCATCCTTCAATCAGGTCCTCTGTCTCTTCCAGGAATCCCTTCCTGGTTCCTCACCCAGGTGTCCCCATGAAGCTGCACCATCACTACTCTTACCACACTGAATCCTGTTTACTTGATGGTTCCCCGTACCTCTCTGTAAACTGAATCAAGGTCCCTGAACCTCTTTACTGACAGGGTCTAGCACAGCACCTGCACGGCACCTAGTAGGTGCACAAGTGATTATTGGCTGATGGCCCAGGGAAATGATTAATTCTGAACAGATCATAGGTAGAAGTGATCACACATGATGGACCTGGGCCATGAAGCTGAAGAAGGAAATCAAGGGTGCGGCAAGGGGAAAGGCCCTCAAGCAAAGGAGCCTTGAAAGGGCATAGGCTGGCCTGGCTTAGAAACAACAGCTGTTGCCTACTGAGTATCTAGACTAAGCCAGGCAGCATCCCAGGTGTTTGTGTGGACTGGCTCACTTAAATCCTCCCCACACCTCTAGGAAGCAGGGATTTTCATGCCCCTCCTGCCTTTTACTGATAGGAAGTGCCACAGAGAGGTTGAGATACCTGACCAAACTAAGCAAGCTAATGATAAACAGAGCAGGCCATGAATTCAGAACCCTCCTAAGCTCTTCAGGAGCTATCAGTATTACCAGGCCTTACTCTCCCTCTAGGAGTTCGCAATTGATCCAGGTGCCTTTGCCTTGCTCACTCAAGCTCTGATAGTTTTGGCACTCATTGTGTCATGAATGCAATGTCTCCAACCTGCCTACCTGCATAGAATAATCCACTGTCCGCAGAAATCACTGCTAGAGCCTACGGTCAAAATCCCCATAGCACCTGTCACACCATCAATAAGATTCTTATCACCCATGAACTTTCTAGGTGAACTTCAGCAGTTCTGTGCTTGCAAATGAAGCATCCTCAGTTACTGTCACTCAGTAAGTGCTTCTCTCTCTCTCTCCAGGACCTACACAGTTTCCATTAGCCAAGGGCAATTAAGCTCTAACCATGGGAGCTCATTAGCAGCCTGGAGAGTCTGGCTTGACGGGAATGGACACCATTCCTGCACCACAAAGGAGCCTAAAGTACCACCCCTTTCTGCTGGCCCACAGTGCACCACCCATCCACCTACTATTGCCAAAGTGTCACCATCACTTAAAGGCAGCTGCTGCTTACCAAGTACCAGCTGTGAGCAGGACACCATTTCCCCACTTTAAGGATGAGGAAGTTACAGTGTAGAGACTTAAGGAAGCATCTTGCAGTAACATGGTCCAGCTGATCTGATTCCAGTCTGTAATCTTACTTGATGATTCAAGTCATTGTTTTAAATTAAGTGATGTACCTTGAATTTTTAAATAAAATGTTTGTAATAACATCATGATAATTTCCTTAACTCCAAACAAAGCCTATGCCCCCCTGGATACAAACAGTCCATTCTAAAAAGCATCCTGGCATTTTAATATAGAAATGGATCATGGGAACTCTGAAGAAGCACGGCACTCAAGCAGTTAAGCAAATGGCAATTTCAGCATATTTCTGTAAATGCCTTTATTGATAGTTCAGCAGGAGTTTCTTCCACGAAAACACAGAATATTAATGGAAACCTTGACTTACATTCTAAGTTTAACCCATTTAATAATGATGGGTTTGTTATGAACCAGCCTTTGTCCCAAAGTATTAATTCTGCTATTTCCCAGCCAGTTGCCTCTAGATCTCCCCAAGGAATGAGCAATGATAATATAGCCTGTCCCTGTTATTTTTCCAGCATCTTCATTTGATCTATTTATAGCAAGAAGTAAAATCAGCAAGTTCAGAAATGGGAGAAAATAAGGTACATTGTTTGACTATTTCTGTTTTTGCTCTGAGATGAACCCACTCAGTAGGTGTTGCCTAGTCCTTATCCAAGCACTCCCCAGGAAGGCAGTAAAGCATCCTACCAAAAAAACCAAGATCCTGGTCTTGAGCTAAGAATTAACAGCAGAGCCTGAACTCCTGGTGTGTGGGGGTGTGTGTGTGGAGGGGTCCCTATGCGGTCCAGTATAAGGGAAAGTTTCTTGAAGGCACACTAAGGGTTAAGTATTTCACCACAAATGAGCTCAGTCAGTCCCAGACTACCACACAAGGCAGGTGCCATTAGCTGAAGCATTTTACCGACGAAGAATCAGAGCTGCGAAAAGGATGAGTAATTTTCTCAAGTCACGTTCCCAGCAAGTGGTGAATCTAGATCATGTCTCCTCAAGGCTCTGATCCTTCCTCCAAATCTCACCGCCCCTGGCCCAACTGAAGAAACACTGGCCTAGTGGTCAGGACGCTGACCTTGGGCATATCACTGTCCTCCTCATATGTGTCTCTCTGCTGTAAAATAAAGAGGACAAGCACCAGCTTCAGCAGCCTAAGGCTTTGGTAACTCAAAGGCTGACCCAGGCCTCTTTTCTTCCAAAAGGCCTGACCCAAGGGGCTATTGTGCCTGCCCTCATATTTGCCAGTCAGATGGCATGTGGCAGTGCATTCCTGCTTCAGGCTATTTCCTCTCTGTGAACCCACAGCTGGAACAGCCAGCTTGATGTTCTCCTGTTCTCAAGTTCCAGGACTCTACCTTATCCTCAAATTATCCTAGGACTTGCACATTTATGAAAAGTTGAAAATTAATTGGCTGTTTATTCCTGGAGTCTCGGTTTTTGAAGTGCCAATAGGCTAACCTTCCATAAATAAGCACAAAGTTAAAAAGGACTATTTGAAGCATTCATTTGCATGGATTCTAATTTCTCAAATATTTGAGGCTAACCTGACTAGATAGACATAAATTCAATTTTACTTATTAAAATCTTTTTATCTAAGCAGAAGCCAAGCAATATTTGGAAGGGCATAGTTTTTGGCCACTGCCCAGATTCTAGCTCTAATCCTTAATAGCAGGGCATGTTTGAGTCATTTGCTTTAATGGAGCCTCAGGTTTCTGCACTTGTAAAATGAGACTCATGTCTACTTTGCAGACATGGAAACAGTATGTAAAAATGCCTCACAGCACAGGGACATATGGCAAGCTCTCAACAAAAAACTAGACCAATAAAAGCAGATGGCTTACATCAGTCTGATAATACCTTACTCAGAGAAATGCCCAACTACCAAGAGGGCCCCCAAGGAGGTGGCTCTTACAGCAGGATCTCTCAATCCACTGACTGTGCATGAGAATCATCTGAGAGCTTTAAACTTTTTATGCCCAGGCCACAGCCCAACCAAAACCTCTGCAGGGAATTCTGGTGATTCCAACATGCAGTAAAGCTAAGACCATTGCCTTGTGACCTGACCTTTCTAAGTTTGGTCCAAAGGGATCCAGGACTCCAAAGGGAGGCCTGGGAGCCATCAGGGCTGGGCAGATACATTCACTGGGAACACAATGTTGCCTGTGCTTGGGGTGGCATTACTCTTGCAGTAACCCCAGTGGTAGTAAGCTTTGCGCAGCAGTTTAACAGGGCCAGGGTGAGGACTCACTAAGACAAGAGCTACAGTGCACTAGGAAGCAGCTCAGGCTGGCCCCCTGCAGCTCACCATCAGCGATGAGACCACCTGGACACTGTAGAGTGACTAGGTGTGTGCACACAAGAAAGAATGTGACCAGTGCTGTGTGAGGCAGAGGGAAGAACCATTTCTAGAAGCTGTCAGGCAGGTTTTTTGGAGCTGGAGGCTTTGAGATTGGCTTTGACAGATTCTTATTAGACCCGGACGTGGGAGGGGGGACTCCAGGGGTCGAGGATGGAAACTCTGGTTATGTTCCTAATCTAGTGTGCAGGAGCAAGAAAAGCAGGCAGTGTTGCTGTGTGGCTCAAGTCCATTCCCAGTTTCCCATGGATTTTAGACAGAGAAAAGCTCTTTATAGTCATTCCATTGTGGCTCTGGGATCCAACTCTGCCCTCAAGACAAGGTCACCATGGGGCTTGAAGTCTGCTGCTCACAGATGGTTAAAACATAATTCCCAACCATGCTTTTTTCTTTTTTTTGAGTGTGAAAACAGAAGAAAAAGAATGAAAAGGAACAGTAAGGTCTTCTAAGCAGTTAAAATAGAAAATGTTATTACCATTCAAATTAACATGAAAGGCTCAGTCTAATAGTTAGATTTTATTCAATCAAGAAAATCTTATCTCAGCTACTCAGGAGGCTGAGGCAAGAGGATCACAAGTTTGAGGCCAGCCTCAGCAACTTAACAAGATAATAGTGATAGGGATGTGGCATGGGGGTAAAGCACACCTGGGTTCAAGCCTCAGTACTCAAGAACAAACAAAAAGTCAATAAAGAAAACATGATCTCAGTGCTTAGGCCATCTCAGTAGGGTTAAGTCTCTGGAGGTGGTTCTTGGGTTATCAGGCAATTCAAATTTGTAGGAAACTCAGACCATGGAGGATCAGAAGAACCAGATCCGCCTATTGTGAGCCTCTTGTGAAACCACTCAGTGACAGCTTTAAGGACTTCACAGAGTTCCAATTTCTCATGTAACAGATGGGAAAACTGCAGCCCAAGTTGGGAAGCAGACGTGTCAAGCCACCAGTGAGTTGGTGACAAACAGACTCTTTCACTTACACTCTCAGCTTCTCAGGAGAGGGCTGGTGGGCCTGCTCTCTGGACTGAGTGAAGCTGAGGCCCCTGGCCTTCTGCCATTCCCATCCTACACAGGAAACTCAGCAGAGAAGGAAGTGACTTGCCCAAGGGCCAAGACTAGAACTTGGGTCTCTTTCTTGCCTCTCAGCCTTCTAATAGCAGCTTCCAAAATGGTATGTAAAAGGAATGGCACATGGTCAGATGGCCAGCCCAAAGAAGGGAATTGAGTTAACAATTTCAAATACAAATAATCTGAACAAATGACTGGGTAAACACTGGTTTCTCTAACACATTCTCACTTTCCATGAGTGGTCCTGTTCCTGTGGAGACCACCAGGAGAGGAGCATGGGCCAAGAACTGAAGTGTTAGAGTTAATACTAGGCTATGAGATGGGCACTTAGACAACTTGCACTTGGGTCAAGAATTCCATGACTCCTTCTTTGGTGAGGAAGAGCACCTCACCAGTGTTTTGACACCAAACCTCAAAATGTGCAGGGTCCTCCAGGGCCCTCTTGCCAGCAATTATCACGAAGGGGTAGCCGAGCTTGTTGGCATCTTTCAGTCTATTTCCAATGGTAAGATGGGTCCTGTCGTCCAGAAGGACCTCCCCATGGAGCTGAGGCAGAGCCTCTGTGATGTGGTCATACAGGTGCCCCATGAGCTCTGCAGCAGCCTCCTCCTTACTGGCTGCCTTAGGGGGGATGAGGCAGACTTGGTAAGGGGCCAGAAGGCGGGGCCAGCGGATACAATCTTCTGTAGAGAGAACTTCAATAGCAGCAGCCAAGATCCGTGTCACACCCAAGCCATAGCACCCCATTTCAGCCAGGGATGGTTTACCATGAGCATTGGTAAACTGGGCATTGAAAATGGAAGAATACTTGGTACCCAGGTAGAATGTATGTCCTACCTCAATGCCTTTCGTTTCAGTCAGTGGGCCCTGGCAGGCAGGGCAATTCATCTGTGACAAGCCTAGTGTCTCCACATTGGCTGAGAAGCTGCAGCTTGGACAGACTGCAAGCCGGTCCTCTCCAATATCCACTGGTAGCTGGAACTCATGAGAAATTGTGCCCCCAATACTACCCACATCTGCCTGGGCCTTGATAAATCGCAGCCCCAGCCTGTCAAATAGGCTGCAGTAGGCATTACACACCAGGCCATAGGTCTGCTGGGCAGCCTCTGGGGAAGAGTCGAAGGTGTACATATCTTTCATGTAAAACTCTCGGCTACGGAGAAGACCAAAGCGGGGCCTAGGCTCATCCCGAAACTTCCTCGTCACTTGGTACAGTAGAAATGGAAGCTGCTTGTAGGACAGTTTCTTCTGGGAGGCAATAAGGGCAGTAATGGCCTCCTCGTGAGTTGGACCTAAGCAGTATTCCTTACCATGCCTGTCTCTAAGTCTTAGCAGCTCCTTGCCCATCAGGTCCCAGCGGTTGGTGGCCTGCCAGAGTTCTGCTGGGCTGAGGCTGGGCATGCTGATTTTCTGCCCCCCAATCCCCTGCATCTCCTGGTCTATCACTCGCACAAGCTTCTCCATGGCACGAACGGTGTAGGGCAGGAGATGGTAACAGCCAGGGCTTGCTGGGAGGATCAGACCCACCTGCAGCATCAGTCGCTGGCTCTTACAAGTCAGGTCGCTAGATTTTCCCTCCACAGAAAGCACCTGGTCTTCCCGGAGGTTCTGTGGCTGAAACATGCGGGACAATATCAAGCGCTGCCCTCTCCCTGAGGCAGAGTGGTGACACCTGTGGGATATGTATCTGGAGAGCTGGTGGCTGCAGGTGGCCCAGGTGGACAATGCTCTGCATCTTGTCAGTAGCCCTTCCATGACAACCTGGCACAGGGAAGCAGGTACCTGGAGACAAATGAGTTGTGGGGAATGAGCTGTGACTGGGTTCCGAGTCACTAAGAAGCCACTCAATCTGGTCTCCAGCAAACTTCCAAGTCAGCCACTGACTCTGTAGGTGTGAATCCTTCTATTTCTGATATCCTAGCAGATAAAAGCACTACTTCTCTTACCTTTTATTTCTTTTAAAAAAAGTCAGTATTTTTTTCTGGCTATGAGAGCATGCCAACATGCTGTGGAGATGCCACCAGCAGTGACTGCACGGCCCTGAGACCAGGCAGCCTGGATTCCAGACAGTCTTTTCCCTGACCATGTGCCTTAGCCCCCAGTGCTCAGTTTCTTCATCTGGGAGATAATAATAATGGGACCTATCTTGAAGGTTTACTGTTGGAATTTAGAAGTTCTTAGAATAGTATCTGGCACAATACTATGAGCCTACTGATATTTGCTATTATTGTAGGAAACTAAGAGGGAAAAAAACTAGAAGAAAATTTACTATAATACCTCAGGCAATTGCTGTGGACACTGTGGCAATCCCTTGTCTCTTTTGCAAGCCCTGCTCTTCCCATCTCTCACCCTGTTTAAAAATCAATTTCAGGTGCCTTGGCCCTCCTTCTTGCACGCGCCCTGAGCAGTCCGAATCTCCACTCCCCCATGTGTAGCTCATCTCAAGTTTCAAACCTCCATATTGACCCCTGCCTGGAGAGCACACTGCACAGCTTACTTCAACTCTGCACCACAGAATAAACTCAACATTTTCCCCATACCTGCCTATCATACTGAATGGCACTGCAAGCTGTCCTTACCAAACAAAACAAAATCAGAAACCTGGGTATATCCACTCTGCCCCTTGCTGTGGCCACATTCACCAGCCCTCTGGAACCTGTCATTCTTGTCCCCATCTCTATCTTCTCAGCCTGTACCTCAGTCTAGGCCACTGTCATTTCATCTCCCGACTTGCATTCCTGCCCTCCTTCAATCTGTTCCCCCACTGCAGCCTTCAGGGAGGCTTCCAATACAATGCAGTCCCAGTTTTGTTGCTCAAAATGGCTTTCTGGTGACCCAAGAATAAGGTCCAAGCCTCTGACCTTCAGGGTGTATACAGCATGCCACTCCTGGACATGTCACACCAGTGCCCGCTCCCTTTTCCAGTTTCCCCATGTGCCTCTTTTTTAAAAAAAATACTTGTTTTAGTTTTAGGTGAACACAATATCTTCATTTTATTTTTATGTGATGCCGAGAAAAGAATCCAGTGCCTCACAAATGCTAAGCAAGCACACTACCACTTGAGCCACATCCCCAGCCCTCCCCATGTGCCCCTTAAACACACCGATTCCTCTGGGGAACACAGCCCCTGCCCTGTGCATCCCAACACCTACTCATGCTCCAGGCCTAAGGATCACTGCCTTGTTCTCTGGGAAGCCTCTTTTGTCCCTTTCTCCAGACACCAAAAAACTGGCTTCTCCTGCATACCCACTGGTTCCCACCAAACATGAATCCGTGTGTGTGGGCTGCTCATTTGGCTGCTGATTCCTCCAGACACTCGACTCTGTGTGGGCAAGGACCCATCTGTCCTGCTCACCACTGTATCCTTGGCACATGGCAAGACTTACTATATGCTGTCCAGTGAATAAGTATGTTTCCCTGTTATAAGATATTCACATATTTCTAAGAGCAGGACCACCTTATACTGATGGACTACATCAAAAACGATTCTCCAGTCACCAGAGTTGTTGGTTTTCTCTGTTACATATAATCTACAATGAACAGATCACTTTCTTCTTTTTTGGTATATATTTGGGAAACATTTCAGGAAAGGAATTAATGAGTCAAAGAGCATAAACTCCTTTGAGGCTCTTGATTTACAGTGCCAAATTCAGCTGAGTACCTCAACTTTTCAGCACAGTCCCTGCAGCAAAGCTCTGGGCAGTATGCCAATATGTTACTGATGCCTCCCATCTTTGGAGTATTAGAATCTCAAGATTCAGGTCCACCACTTGTCGGTCCCTTTCAACAAGTAGCCTCATCAATTTCTCCTGTGCACTGTACAAATACTAAAAGGTTGTGAGGCACTACCATAGAGCCCTAGTGTGGCTTCACAGAAGTATGGCCTAGAAGAAGGCACATATGGATTCACCCGTGACTTCATCAACTTACATGAGGTCCAAACTTAGCTCAGTGGCCCAAGTAAGAAACTCCTTCACCTTTGACTCCTCCTAAAACAAGAAAGTCTCCGTAATTTATCTCAGGTCCACCCACTTTTTTCTGCATTACAATAGTCTAGTGATCCTGAAATTCAATGGAGCATCAGAATCACCTAACATTGAATATCAGCGCCTGTAATCCCACTGGCTCAGGAGGCTGAGGCAGGAGGGTCATGACTACAAAGCCAGACTCAGCAACTAAGTGTGGCCCTAAGAAACTCATCAAGACTGTCTCTAAATGAAATATAAAAAAGAGCTGTGGATTAGGTGTCCCTGGGTTCAATCCCCATACCAAACAAAACAAAACCAGAAAACCCACTGATTGCCAGGTCTCAACCTCAGAGTATCTGAATCAGTAGGCATAGGCTCAGAACTCACATTCCTAACAAGCATCCAGGTGGTGCTGATGTGCTGTTTCAGGGACCACACATGGAGAAACACTATAGGGACCAAGCTGTGCACATGTGCTGACTGGGACTGTAAACTTCATGAAGACAATAACCTTGTCTATTTTATTCCAGGTAGTATCTGCAGCATCCAGCACAGTGCCTGCACACAGTGCTGAAAGTGTCTTTTTACCTGTCAGTTCAGTCTCCACATTACTGACAAAAAGGTAGCTGGTCGGAACACTCCACTGCTTATATTATATTATATTATATTAACAACTCCCCATCATGTTTTCTCAGAATGGCATCAAAGCTTTTCATATTTTGATCTCAACACATCTTTTCCAGCTTTTTATTCTACCAATTCCTTAACATGCCCCAAATTACTAATCATTCCTGGAACAGGCCAACCTCCAACTCCCAGCAACTTCAACACACCATGCAACGTTTACTTATTTCCAGAAGCTTCCTTCAGGACAGAGAGCCATTTCCTTCTCCGAATTCCTTTGGCACATGCTTCTTTGCAGTGTATTGTACTGCAGCCACTTCTAAAAAATATTTCTAAGTGTCTTAGTATTGGGAGTGAATGTTTCATGTCCTAATCCTCCATTAAACTATGAGTTCATGAAATTTAGACACTCTTAGACTTAGGGTCTAGCACAATGCCTAATATTTGGGCAATTATTAATAACATTTCTTGATCAAATATAAAAAATGAAGAGAACAGGGATGCAATGATATAATTATTTGTGTAATTTAAATAAGAGCTTTAAGCCCTCCCCCACCAAATGTGTGCCTGTTCTCTGCTTACACAAACAGAATAATTAGTATTTTATCTTATTTTTCAAAATATTGGCCACAGACAATCTAGTAATAGAGTAACACATATGGTAACCAAATAGTAATGAATGGGACCAAAACTTCAAATCTAGCAAAGAGCCTCTGAGTCATTCACATTCAGCAAACTTTTACAGAGTACCTACTCTGTGTGGAGCTGCTGGTGCTTCCTCATCAGGTCTTTTAAAAGATTCTCAAGACTCCCAACTGCCCTGCAATTCAATCAGGAAAGTTGTACTCTAAGTGTTTACAATAGTGCTGGGTGCACAGTTAAGTGCCATAATGTTTACTGCTAGTAGTAGTAGTACCAGGATGCCTGAGAAATCCCTCGTCAAGCAGAAGCAAATGCACATGGTCAACCTTGGAAGACAAGGAACACTCCCGCTCCCAATCCAATAAAACTGCAATGGAACCCCACAGTGGGGTCTAAGAACTGGCTAGGCCTTCACTTAGGAGTGACCCTGAATCAGTCACTCCACTGTCGAGACCTGCTTTCCCATTCCTAGAACGGGAAGCTTGGCTCGACCGCCAGGTGATTCCCGAGGCCCTTCCAGGGCCTGCACTTCTAGGAACGCCGATTCTCATGACCACCCGACGCAGTCAAGGGCGGAAGTGCTGCCTTCACTTTTCCACCTAGAAATCTGAGACAAGGTGACCAGCCGGATCCATCCAAGAGTTCATGTGATTGTACCCCGCCCCAGTTCAAGGACGGGACGAACGTAAGAAAACGAACACCAGGTCCAGGGTCCCCACGCCCAGAACCCTCGCCCGCTGCTCTACTCCCGCTGTCATCCACGCTCACCACCAGCAGTCCCGGCCAGTGCCACCCGCTCGTCCACCCCGTCGAGCCAGCGCGCCTGCGCCAGCTCGCGCTAAGCCCTGCCTCCAGACCTTCTCGCCAATCGCAAGGCCACACTCACGGGAATGGGGCGGTGCTCCCTGGGCCATTCTGTGGTCGCGCGTGTGCAGTTTTCAGGAAGTTTAGTCGATGAGAGAGATCGGCTCTCCCCGAGATCATAGATTGGCCTGGATCAGAAGAACACCATTCCGGAAGTGCCCTCTAGGAATCAAGGAGGCTTAACTCTATGGTCAAAGCCAACTCCAGAAGATTTTGCCTTAGTGTTCTCTCCCACTGCCCCTCCTCATTCTCCAACGGGAGTGCCGCTGGCTGCAGTGTAACTATGACAACCTGCAGGCCATCCAACCGATAATTATTCAGGATTTCAATTTAAAATTTTAAAATTGTGAAACGGTTGGAGAGAGGCACTTTTATTAGTGCCCAAGATGGTCCTTAAGACACGAATTCAAACTTTCATTTACAAAATTTTTTGGAGGATCGACCTTGTTTGATCCACTGTTGCAGACACAGGGAAGAGTGAAGTGAACAAAAACAGACAAAATTACCTACGTTCAGTGTGGCTTATATTCTAGAGAAGCAAACAGTTAACAAACTAGTCTGGTGAAATTTAAGCAGTGCGGGAAGGGGGACTACAAGGACTGCAGTACTAATGATAAATAGCATTTTAATACAATTATTATTATTATTATTATTATTTATTTTTTAGTTATTGGCGACACAACATCTTTGTTTGTATGTGGTGCTAGGATCGAACCTGGGCCCCACGCATGCCAGGCGAACGCGCTACCACTTGAGCCACATCCCCAGCCCTAATACAATTATTTTTTAAAATAAAAATTAACACAAAAACTATAGCGAAAAATTATCAAGATTTTAAATAATGACACAGTCTGTCAGCAGGTGTTAGTTCCTTTGGAGAAAAGCTAACTAGGGAAGGAGAATGGAGTGGGGATTTGAGAGGTGTCAATTAAAAAGGATGCTCAAAGGAAACATCAAGAAGGTGACATTTTAGCAAAGAACCCAAAGAGGTGAAAGACAGCCTTGCAGATAGATATCTGGAGGAAGAATATTCCAGACCCAGGGAGCAATGTGATGTGCTTCTGAAGTGGCACCCCCTTTCTCCACTGAAAAGTCTTAACCAGCCTCTCCAGAAATCTTCACCATGGCTGATTTTAGGACTGTCAGCAAAAGAGTCTCTGCAAAATAGTTCAATGTAGATAAACTTCCTATTTTCGTGTTGCCCTGTTTTACTTGGCCACTGGCCGAGAAGATACCAGCACTCCAGGTGCTGGATACCCCCTTACTAGTTTTTCACAAACATATCCAATATAATACTTTGAAGAAATGTGCAAACAAGGCCTCTGGCCTTGAGCTGGGCTTCACAGAGATGTCTACATTTTTAAGGTAAGTTACAAATGGACTCCATGGTAACAGCTGGCAGGGGGAGGAAAGAAAGGGAAGCAGAAGCTCTCCCCTTCTCAGGTGTTGACCTTAAAGAGTTAACTTGCCCAAAACAGTGAAAGAAAAAGCTGCTTTTTTTGTGAAGTTCTGCAGACTGTGAACTTCTGAGCCCCTGCCCTTACATGCTGGGTATGAAACTCTGAAACTCCCTGAACTGGGGGTTCAGGGGATTAATTGATTACAGCAAAAGCTGTGCCCTCTGAACCTGGCTGCAGCCAAATAAAACTGTTTCCTGCTATCTTCAATGCCTTGCCTCGTTTGTCCCTAAACACTTCAACAAGAGCTGCATGTTTTATAACTCTACCTAATAACAACTACAGTGTACATCTGCCTAAAATGTGCCAGAGCAGATGTAAGACACTGGTGACTCTGATGCTGACCCAAGCAGCTCGCTGCTCTCAGGGAGCTTCCAGGAACCATGTCATGATATCAGTGGTGGGGGGAGGGGGCACTAAGCAAAATCCTGAGGAGCCTGGAGAAGGAGGGCTTCACTGAGGGGGTGAAGATTAGCGGGACAAGAATGGCAGTGGGAGTGGAATGGAACATCCACACAGAGGGCCTAGGACACTCCAAGGCACACACTGGGAAATGATGAGCCCTGGTGAGGAGGTGTGGGATGTGGTGGAAATTACATCTTTATTTCTTTTTTTCATTTTTTTTTTTAGTTGGAGTCAGACATAATACCTTTATTTTATATATTTATTTTTATGTGATGCTGAGGATCGACCCAGCTACTGCTGAGCTACAACCCCAGCCCTCATTTTTATTTCTTTACAGCTTTTAACACCATCTTGAACCTCAGGTCAGAACAGTGGTTCTCAGCCTTGACTATACTGGAATCACCATGTGCACCCCCCCACACCCCACCCCACCCAAGGTGCTAGTAAGAAACTGATGTGACTCCATTTTGGAAAAAAGCTTCTACCTCAAAGCCTTTCCAAGGAGAGGGGAGTGACCCTTGTCCTTGGAAAAACCCACAGAGAGCTCCTAGGCACATACCCACCCTGCTGAGTTGTTTGTCTGCAAATAACAGGAGAGATCTGTGGCGCCAGGTGTCCCTGACTCAGTTAGGCTAGGTGAGGACCCATAGCAACCCCCTAGCAACCACCAATCAGCATGAGACAGGGAAAATACCTGGGATGCCAGATGATCCCCTAGTTATAGTGGTTGATAACATGTTGAGAAACCATGTAGTTTGGAGACCCCTCATGGCTTAAACCAATCAGTTCAGAGGAATCCCCTTCTTGTACAAGAGCTGCATGTTTTATAACTCGACCAAATAACAACTATGGTGTATAGGATGCCTAAAATGTGCCAGAGCAATTTGGGTAGTAATCACCCCTACCCAACTTGTTCCCACCAGTGATGTGCTAATCAATGTTAAGAGTTGTTGTTTGACTTTCCCGAAATGTGATAATGATTTACTGTGTGATGTTGTGACACATAGAGTATCCCCCAAAACCTATAAAATCTCACTGGACAAACTCACTCCCTGGGACCACTGTGTCGGGAATGGTTGTGAGTCCAGGCTCGAGCTTGCAATAAAGACTCTTGTGTGATTGCATCGGATTTGGCTCCTGGAGGTCTATTAGGGTCCCACAAATATGGCATTACACTAGCTATCAATCTGAGGTGAGCCTGGGCAGCAATATTTTATAGTCTTCCCCAGAATGAGTTCAATGCGCAGGCAGCTGGTCTACAGAAATGTCCCTAGACAGCCTAGTGAGGAGAATTCAGGGGGACGGTGGGTGCACCGTATCCTTACAATCACAGATTAGCAAAATGCAGCTGGGCTGGAAAATACCAGGGCACTAGGAGGCCAGGCAGAGCTGGGTGGACCTGAGCTCTGTCTATAGGAGCCCTGCTTGTCCTCGGTAGCCCAGGACTAGGGGTGGGGCTTTCCCTAGGCTTTGAAGGGATATACTGGGGCCACATTCCCCACTCCTCCTCGGGGAATGCAAGGCCAAATCAGCTTCAGAATTTCCCATGGTTCACACTTCTAAAGTAGCCTTTTATTTCTCCATGCTCCCTTACATGTTATTACATCCCTTCCAATCCTGGAAAAGCCAGGCAGCCGTCTTCTGTACCCTGAGGTGTTAATTATTTCTCAATTAGCAGTTCCCAGGCTGTAGAGCATAGTGGTGTGGAGAGGCCTAATGACTTGCTGTGTTTATAAACCCCCACATCTTCAGAGCACTTACTAGTGGTAACTAATTAATGCTCATGACCCTCTTGGGAGGCAGGCCAAGAAAGCTGCATTTTACTGAGGGTTTGCAGGAAGCTCTCAGCCTGGAGCCGCAGAACCTGGTCAAGACAGCCATAGTCAAAGTAGATTTCCTCCCTGCCCAGAAAGTCCAGAGTGGTCGAGACCCAGCATCCGGCCCTGTCACTGCTAGCAACTTCCTGCGTGACATTTCATACACACACACACACACACACACACACACACACACACACACACACATATATGTAAATATATATTTTTTAGTTGTTGATGGACTTTTATTTTATTTATTTATGTGCAGTGATCAGAATCAAACCCAGTGCCTCACACATGCTTGGCAACTGCTCTACCACTGAGCCCCACTCCCAGTCCCCTGCCTGAATTTCAAGCCATCAGTTGCTCAGCAATTTATTGGATGTCTTGGTTTACAGAGTTCACTCATGATTAAAGCCCTACAAGTTAAAAAAAAAGAAAAAAGAAAAAAGAAAAGAAAAGAAAAAAAGAAAATTGGAAAAAATTCACTCATATATTAGTTATCAAAAAGGAAAATGAGCAGGACACCATGGCACACACCTGCAGGTGAAGGTAACAGGATTGCAAGTTTGAAGCCAGCCTGGGCAACTTGAAGAGATCCTGTCTTAAAATAAAACATAAAAAGGGAGTGAGCTGGGGATGTAGCTCAGTGATAGAGCACCCCAGAGTTCAATTTCCAATACTGAAGAAAGGAAGGGAGGAAGGGAGGGACAGAAGCAGGGAGGGTCATTTGCATTGACAGAGTCCTTGCTATGTATTGTCCTTATGTACAGGAGCAATATTGAATATTTCCACCCGTATCCAATTATAACCTTACAAAACTTCATTAAGTATGAACATCATTGTGATATCCCTTTTATAGATGAAGCAACCAAAGTTCACAAGGTTGGTTAGCTTGTCCATGGCCAACAAAACTACTAAAAAGGGAAGAAAGGAGGCATACTCAGGTCCGCCAGACATACAGCCCCACGTCTGCACTCACAGCTTCCAATAGCAGCTTACTTGTATCAAGCACATCTTAACTCATAACCAATGTTGTATGAGTACAACCCAAACAGACCCTGTCATCTGAGTTGGTCCCTCTGTCTAGAAGCCTGCTCTTCAGGGCCCAGCACAGTGGTACCCTCTTTAGGACCCCTTCTGCTATAGTTTGGATCTGGAATGTCTCCGAAAGGTGCCAGTGTTAAAAACTTGGTCCCTAGCTCTGATAGGGTGAGTC